CTCTCCGCTGAGCGGGATGCCCCATTTGGGGCTTGATCTCAGGGTCCTGAGATCCTGACTTGAGCCAAAGTCAGACAGTTAACTCACTGAGCCAGGCATCCTCCTGGCTCTAATTAAGACATTAAATGTCTCTAATTTGGGCTTCTCAATAAATATTTATTGTTTTTCACAAATTTTACACTTATTTCCCCTTCTTTGATCCTAGAATTAGGATCTCAACATGAGTTTTAAAATACAGTGTAGTGAGATAAGATTTTGAACGATTAATCTTTGTACTTTTTAATTTCCTACAGCACTCTCTTAGTTTTCTCCTACCCACTTTGCAGCATCCATAGAGCCAGGAGGAGAATTAGGATGGTTCAAGTGAAAATAGAGAAAAACAGCAAATGTTTGTCCTGCTATTGTTATTCTCTTGAGTCTACAGCTAATGAGGATTATGAAGTGGCTGGGGGTGACAGAGGATGAGTCCTTTCTTCCTGATTCAGGCAGAAGAGATAAATATTATTGTGACTAAGATGGGAAGAGGGCATTGGAGTCACCCTCTCTTTTGTGATAGTCTTCAGAAAATCAGTAAACAAAATTTGACTTGTGATTAAGACACTGGTGACTCTTAATTTGAAGGAATGTTAGAGTTGGGGTCTCAACAAAAACTTCTAAGGATAGTGAATGACTCCATGTCTTTAGGTCCTGGGGCCTTCTCTCTAACTTTGCCACTACTGGGATCCCTGGGTGGCTTGGTGGTTTAGCATCTGCCCTGGGCTCAGGATGTGATCCTGAAGTCCCAGGATCGGGTCCCACGTCGGGCTCCCTGCATGGAGCCTGCTTCTTTCTCTGCCTGTATCTCTCCCACTCTCTCTGTGCCTCTCATGAATAAATAAATATTAAAACAAAAAAACAAACAAAACTTTGCCCCTACTTTTGGGCCCCCCACCCTGTTTCAGGAGATGTTCCTATAGAAGTCATGAACAGCAGCAAGAAGAGAGGATCTGGAGGAAGGGTTTCCAGGGATGGTGAGCAAGGAGGCAGGGTATCCCAAATTGTGGACGATGCTCTCTTGTCAGTGTGAACATGGACAGGTAGTTAAAGTTAAAGGCTAACATGGCTATACTGGGACTAAGTTGAACTAGACATGACCCTCAGTTCTCAAGTCCTGGCCTCCTATAACTTGGACTTTTACCTGTGAGCCTCAGCACACATAGGCCAGGTCCTGCATGTTCCCTGGGAGGCAGCATGCCAAAAACCTTGAAGCAAAAGCTTGAAGGGTTAATAAAAAGTCCAAAGTTTAGCTCTTTCTTTCTAAAGAGACCTCATCCACACCTTCAGTACACACCAGCCTGTCACTCCCTCAGAAATATAGTCCATTCATTTCACAGCTTTCTGAAAGGCCTGAACTTTCTCCTGTAGATATCCTCCTCCCTTGGGGAGAACTGGGACTGTGATGATGATGATGATTTTTGGCAGCATTTGGTGTAATCCATTGCTGTCATTTATTATGCTCTGTATCTCCATCATATTATTAAAGTTGTGCTTTTTCTTCAGCATCATTAAATCAGTTTGTAACTTTATGTATGCATGAGCCTGTCTTTCTTGCTAGATTGAAAGCTCTGTGGAGATAGGAACCGTCTTTATACAATTCTTTGGCCTCTAGCATAGTAGTTATTTAAAAAATTTTTGATAGTTGTTAAATGACTCTCCCTGACAGATCTCACCAATCCCTAAGAATCAGTTACTATCCACACTCTTACTGTTCCCAGATGTGTATGTTGTTCAGAGCCTTCTCCTTAGGACCTACACATGCAAGATTCTATCTGACATCTCCACTCCACCTCAAACTCAGTATATCCCAAACTGACTGTGTCCACTTCACTTGGCAAATGAGCTCTTTCATCTAAGTTCTTTATCTCAGGTGATAGCAAGGTCACTCATCTACTGTACAAACCGGAGAGTCTCAACTATTCCTCAGGCTATGGGCCATCTGCTTTTACCTGGATAATTATCTTTTTCTTCTTCTACAGAAACTAGACAGTGTCTAACACACAATAGGTACTAGTAAATATCATTGGATAAATGATCTAACTTCTGATTTATTCCCATAGAACTAATTTTCCACTCAGCAATGTGACATTCAGAAACATCTGATGCTGATCCATTGCCCATTAAGGGTTCCCCATTGTCCACGGGTTAAAGATCAAATTTCATAGTATACGTTTTCCTTTTTACCATTCACGGTCAGATCTATTTATTCTTGCAGTTCAACTTTTCTCTGGTGATACTGAATGTTGTTTCTCAAATGGAGCAAACTCTCTTAACTTTCCATTGGATGATACATTTCCACTGAATCCTTCCCTTATCTGACTCACTCCTATGCATTTGTTCAGGTCCTAGCTTAGTACTCACCACCTGACCTGACCTAGAAGGGGTTGGAAATTCCTGCTAGATCACTAAGTACTTTGCAAACCAAGACCTTAGTTAACCACTCAGCTAGTCAAAGACCTCTATCACCTTTTGCTTTCAGACAATTTTGTAGGGAACATTCTTAGGCTAAAGTCTTTGTATAGATACCAGTCTGAAAGATGAAGTCCTGGCAGAAACAAACAAACAAAAAAACAAACAAACCAAAGTCTTGGGAGAGAAATTTCTGGCCAAAGGGCATATATATATATATATATATATATATATATATATATATATTTTTTTTTTTTTTTACTTTAACAGATACTGTCCAGTCGATTTTTTTTTTAAAAAAAGATTTATTTATTCATGAGAGACACACACACACACATAGAGGCAGAGACACAGGCAGAGGGAGAAGCAGGATCCATGCAGGGAGCCTGACTTGGGACTCTATCCTGGGACCCCAGGATCATGCCCTGGGCCAAAGGCAGGTGCAAAAAGGCTGGGCCACCCAGGGATCCCCTCATCATAGTTTTTGATCATTGTTAATCTGATACAGAAATATTGGTGTTTCATTTTACTTTGCATTTCTTAGATGATGATGGATTATCCTTTCCAAAGTAAAGAACACTTGCATTTCTTCTAGGTTCGGTCTGCATAGATCTTGACTACTTTTGGACTTTTGGTATTATCCTTAATTTATAAAACTGTCTAATCAGAAGAAATTTGGGGATGCCTGGGTGGCTCAGCAGTTGAGTATCTGCCTTTGGCCCAGGGCATGATCCTGGAGTTCTAGGATTTGAGTCCCACATCGGGCTCCCTGCATGGAGCCTGCTTCTCTCTGCCTCTGTCTTTCTCTATCATGAAAAAATAAATAAAATCTTTTTTTTTTTTTTTAAAGAAGAAATTTGCTTTGCCTGTCATATGTGCTTATCAAGTGACTGTGGAGTCTTTCTCCATCTGGATTTTTTTACTTTTTATGAAATCAAAAAGTGGCTATATTTTGTGGCTTCAGTCTTCTATAGAAAATCTCCATTTTGAAATTATTCAGACATCATTGTGGACTATGATATTGGGGTTTTAAAAAATATTTATTTGAGAGAGAGTACAAGTGGGTGGGAAGGGCAGATGGAAAGGGGGAAGCAGACTCTCTGCTCAGTGGGGAGCCCAACTTGGTGCTCCATCCCAGGACGTTGGGATTATGACCTGAGCTAAAGGCAGATGCTTAATTGACTGAGCCAGCCAGGCACCCCCATTATTTTTAAAATTTAAATCTGAAATTTATTTTTGGTTTGAAAGTGAGGTGAAAGATACAACTTCTCCCTAGATGGAAAGCCAGTTATCTCCCAACTATTGAGCAACATATTTTAAAGACATTCCACCATTAATTATTTCTATTTTCTTTGTGAAGTAGGAGTATCTATCATTGGCTTAAGAAGGAGGTGCTGAGGGATCCCTGGGTGGCACAGCGGTTTAGCGCCTGCCTTTGACCCAGGGCGCGATCCTGGAGACCCGGGATCGAATCCCACGTCAGGCTCCCGGTGCATGGAGCCTGCTTCTCCCTCTGCCTGTGTCTCTGCCTCTCTCTCTCTATCTGTGTGACTGTCATAAATAAATAAAAATAAATAAATAAAAATAAAAAATATTAAAAAAAAAAAGGCGGTGCTGAAATCAGAAGTTTGAGAAAAATTAAAAATGGGAAAGAGGGGTACCTAGCTGGCCAACTCAGTAGAGCATGTGACTCTTAATATATATTTTTAAGATTTTATTTGAGAGGTAGAGAGAGAAAGCACAAGTGAAGTGAGGGGCAGAGGGAGAAGCAGACTCCCTATGGAGCAGGGGGCCTAATGCAGGCTCAATCAGGCTAGGATCATGACCTACGCTGAAAGGAAACACTTAACCAACTGAGCCACCCAGGTGCCCCTAAGCATGCAATTCTTAATCTCAGGGTTGTGAGTTTAAGCCCCATGTTTGGTGTGGCACCTACTAAAAAAAAGGGGGGGGGGTTGGGGAAGAAAAAGAAACACAGAATTGTTGGGTGACCTCAAGAGCCTAGTTAAGGTTAGAAAGAAGGACCTTGACATGGCCACCAACTTTGATATCAGAGGATATTATTTGGTATGTTCAATAGCCTTGGTACAAAAGTATAAGATGCAGACAGTTGAATTTTAACAGGAAGGTGAGAGGAAATGTTGGGTGGCAGATGTTAGTGTGACCACCTTTAGAAAATATTATCTGTGGAATGCCTGGGTGGTTCAGTTAGTTAAGCATCTGACCTTGGTTCAGGTCATCATCTCGGGGTTCTGGGATCCAGCCCTGTGTGTCGCTCCACACTCAGTAGGGAATCTGCTTCTCCTTCTCCCTCTGCTCATGCTAATAAAATCTTTAAAAAAATTATATATATATAAAATAAATATAAAATATATATAAATATAAAATATAAAAAATTATATATATATATATATAAATCTTCATTAGGCCTTAACCACAAACACTTTCCAGTATGTGGCCTTTCAAGACTAGAAGCTTCTCAGAAGTTGCTGAGTGTTAGTAAAACTCTGAGAATATATTTTACATTCCAAATACCTAATAAACATACTAATAAATGGAATGTGGTATTTTATTTATTGAGATAAAGATATTTATATCATACTTGAAGGATTACAATGCTGGGGATGTTTGGGGTTAGGAGAGGACACAAAATAAAGCTTGGGACTCAGTCTTCTCAGTCTGAAGCCATCACACATGTGGTACCAAAGATTCCTCCTTAGAAGATGTTTCATTTTCTTCATAATCTTAAAAGGGGAGAAATCTTTAGCTTCACATTGTTTATATTCTTTTTAGAAAATGTACTTTTAACAAGGGCATATTTTCTTCCATTAATGATTAAAAAATTCTGAAACCCTCCTTACAAAACTCAATTTTTTAAAAAAAGTACAAGAATGAAACCTAATTTCATTTAAAACAAATATTAACAAAAAATAATACACACAAACATAAACTAGTCTTCATAAATAAATCCATTTTAAACCAGTAGTCCAAAGAATAATCTCAACATTAAGACTTTAATTTGGGAATGAACCATGTTTTAAAACCTTTATTGAGGTATGACATACAATAAACTGTATATATTAAAGATATATAATTTGATGTTTTGACAGATATACATATATAGATAGATATACACAACCCAAAAAACCATCACTATAATTAAGGCAGTAAATATGTTCTTCACAAAAATACTTCTCTTATTCCTAATATTGGTAATTTATTTATTTTTTTTCCTAATCAGTCTAGCTAGAGGTTTAGCAATTTTATTGATCTCAGTAAATAAAATCTTGCATTGACTTTATGATTTTTGTTTTCTAGTTTATTGAGTTCTACTCTGACCTTTAGTTTTCCTTTTCCTTTACTTAGTTTGGGTTTAAGTTGCTCTTCTATTTCTCATTCCTAAGTTAAAAGCTAAAGTTATTGATTTAAGAGCTTTCTTCTTTTGAAATATAGGCATTCAGTGAGATAACTGCTCGAAATCTGCTTTAGCAGCAGTCCATAGCATTTTGATATGTTGTATCTTCATTTTGATTCTGTTTGAAAAAGTTCCTAATTTTCCCTTTGATTTTTCTCACTGACCCATGGCTTATTTAGAAATGTATTATTTAGGGGTACCTGGGTGACTCTGTTGGTAAAGTATCTGCCTTCGGCTCAGGTCAGGATCCCAGGGTCCTGGGATCAAGCCCTCAACTGGGCTCCATGCTTAGCGGGGAGCCTGCTTGTCCCTTTCACTCTGCCTACCACTCCCCCTGCTTGTGCTCTCTATAATGAATAGATAAAAATCTTAAAAAAAAATGTATTAATCTCGCAACTATCTATGGGTTTTCCAGAGTTCTGTTATTGATTTCTAAATTAAATCTATTGTGGACAGAGAACATACCAGATATGATTGAAATCCATTAATATTGAGAACTGGTTTTGTGGTCCAGGATATAGTCGATATTGGTAAATTTTGTATGTTCACATAAAAAGAATGTATATATTATTGTTGTTGGGTAGTTTTTTCATAAATGTCAATCTAATCAACTTGGTTCAGAGTATTGTCTAAATCTTCAATATCCTTTCTGATTTTTTTCAACACAGAGCTTGAATTTAGAATCTTACAATTAAGACCTGAGGTGAGATCAAGAGTCAGATGCTTAACCAACTGAGCCATCCAGGTGCCCCTGAGGGAGGCTATTGATATCTCTCATAATCAAGAAATCATTGCCAAGAGTGATGTCATAAAACTTTCCTATTATATTTTCTTCTAGTTGTTTAATGGTTTAAGATCTTGGAGGTGATTTTTGTGTATGGTTCACTGTTTTGCATTTAGATATCCAGTTTTGCCAACACTATTTATTGAAGGCACTATGCTTTCCCTACTTATATTTTTGGCACTCTCAACTAGTTTCTGGATTGCTCACAAAGTGAATTTGTCTCTGTATTACCAATGACTTGGTATGTATTTTGGGGAGAGGAGGGTCCAAGGATTCTCTTCTGCCACCTTGCTGATGTTATGCCTCAGAATGGTATATCTTTTAACACTGTTTCACTTTTCACCTATTTTTGTCTTTAATTTGAAGTGTTTTTTTTTCTAATTTCTACAGTTCTTCTGAACTTTTGGCTTACAATATCATACCAACTTTGTAAATCGTTATTTTATTTTTTTAAAGATTTTATTTATTTATTCACAACAGACAGAGAGAGAGAGAGGCAGAGACACAGGCAGAGAGAGAAGCAGGCTCCATGCAGGAAGCCCAATGTGGGACTTGATCCTAAGACTCCAGGATCATGCCCTGGGCTGATGGCAGGCGCTAAACCGGCGAGCCACCCAGGCATCCCATAAATCAGTTATTTTATTTAATTTTTAAAAAGATTTTATTTATTTATTCATGAGACACACACACACACACAGAGAGAGAGAGAGAGAGAGAGAGAGAGAGGCAGAGGCAGAGACACAGGCAGACAAAGAAGCAGGCTCCATGCAGGGAGCCCGATGTGGGACTTGATCCCAGGTCTCCAGGATCAGGCCCCGGACTGAAGGCGGCACTAAACTGCTGAGCCACGGGGGCTGCCCAAATCAGTTATTTTAAATGAAGAATCACCAGTTTCTAAATAATATACTACTATGTGTGATTCTCGGGACAAGGTAGGGAGGGGAGAACAAAGACAAGAAATACACCTTAAATAGAACCATTTATGTAACTTCATATAAGTTGAATAACTGGGTAAATGACTTAATGTGTGGTTTTATTTCATATTACACACTTATTAACTAAGCAGTTAGTAATCAGATGCCAAGCACTCTAAGACAAATTCTCTTGAGGACAGTTTCTCAGATTTTTAGTGTATCTAAGAATTGACTGCAGAGTTGGTTAAAAAGGCAGATGTTAAAAAAAAATGCAGATGTTCAGGCTAAACTCCAGATTTTAATTTAGTAGGATTGAGATGGAGTCTAGGAATCTGCAAATTCTTGACCAACTCAGTGACCCTGATAAGAGACAAAAAGATTGTTGTGGAGTTAGACATACCCTTATTTCTTATTTGCACTGGACAAATGGATGATGGATATAACAGAATGAACATTATTAGACAAAGTAGAGTCAAGAACAGACCGAGGTGTTTTTGCCCAGTTTAAGATGTTCAGATTAGAAAAGGCTTCCAGTATTGAATTAAAAAAACTCTGGATTAGAATCTTGAAACCATTGAGGTTTCAGAGTAGGAGAATAATAATCAGCAATTTTTAAAGGAATGTTGATTTGATGGGATGAGCTGTAAAGTTGGAAAGCCAGAGAGAAAGTTTAGAATGAGGTGATAAAGGTAAGCATCAAGGAGGAGGTACAGACAATAGAAAATAAAATGTCAGAAGTCATACTGGTATGTATGTATGTGAACTTCCCTTCACATACTTAAGAACAGGAAGTTAATATTAAATACATTAAAAATATTCATTAGAAACATCATAATAACAGTAACAATAGCAAAAACAATAATAAAAAGAACGAAATAATTTTTAACAGGTCTTCCCGATATTGACGTGCATTATTCTTGAAACTCCACAGGAGCTCAATAGCAGTTTGTATTGCCTGGAAGAATTATTAAAAAGGAGGTATTAGTATTTTAAGTTAAACTGAATCCATCAGTCATTATAAACTAAAAACAGGCATTTCCTATCTTCTATAAGGCAGGTGAGCAATGTTTGCATTCTGTAGTATAATTATATTAAAAACGTTTTTTCTAAAGTTTTTTTATTTAAATAATCTCTATACGCAATGTGGGGCTTGAACTTATGACCTTGAGATCAAGAGTTGCATGTTCTTCCAACTAAACCAGCCAGGTACCCCACATAATTCTATTTCTTCATTCACCATTTCAACCAATATTGATTTATTGTCAAAGATAAAAAGATTCATAGTCAAAAAAGAAAACTTTACTTTTCCACATCTACAGATTTGACATGTAGGTTAAAATTTTAAGGGTATGATAGAGGGAGCATTTCTGGGGGTGGATGGGTAGGTAGGAGCAAAAAAAGCCAGATAGACAAGGTTTCAAGGAAGATGGGACGTGAACTGAGCTTGAAGGTGGGATCTAGATATGTGGAAAATAGGGAATATGGAAGAGGAAAGAGAGGCATTTTACATAAAAATCTTAGTATGGATTTTCTATATCAGAAATTGTCAAATTTTCACAGTTCATAAAAATGGGTAACTTGAGAAATGCTGTGAAAGCAAATCCAAAGAAAGATGACACACATTTATTCATTTCTTACCTTCTTTCAATGGTGTTTTGAGAGCAAAATTTTCTTTGCTTTCGTGAAGAAAAGCCTTTGAAGGATCAAAGTGTTTGATACCAAGAACTTTATTCAATTCCTCCTGAAGTTTTGTCTCACTTTGTTTTCTTTTAGCGAGCTGAGAGCGGAGTTTTGACACCTCCTATGTAAGAAAAATATAGGCAACAATTATTAAAGTTCATGTGCGTGAAACCTGTTATCGATGTTATTGACAAGTTCCAAAGTTGCTCATCTACCAAGCCAAAAGGCAAAAATCGCTACTAGATACGGGCTTTAAGACTAAAAATTACAAAATGACTCTGAAGGGCTGTGACAAAGGAGATAATGGGACATTTAAATCCTCTTGCCACTCTACAGTTAGTTTTTTTTTTTTTTTAAGATTTTACTTATTTATCTGACAGAGAGAGCAAGGGAGCACAAGCAGGGGGAGGGGCAGAAGAAGAGGGAGAAGCCAACTTCCCTGCTGAGCAGGGAACTTGATCATGGGACTTGATTCCAGAACCCTGGGATCATGACCTGAGCTGAAGGCAGACTCTTGAAGGCAGACACTAACTGACTGAGCCACCCAGGTGCCCCCAAAACTATGTTTCTGATGAAAGTTCATCTCTAAATTAAGTGCAGAGATCAATCTCTGGAATGACAGCATGAGAAGCTCCACTAACCTGCTTCCTAGTGAAACTAAAAATCATAAAAAAGGTAACCATTTAAAGCATGTAAAAATAGTCCCAAAGCAAAATAGCTAATGAAGAAACATCTTTTCAAGGATATCTAGAAAAATATGGTACAGAAAGGCAAGGGTTTGTGGTATCTGAACCAATCCTGCTCCTTTTTCCCAACTCCTAGTTTAGCAAGGTGAACACCCTATACCAGACAGGTGTAGTCGGGAATACAGGGCCCTCTCCCCACCCAGCAACCCCCAGCTACCTGCTGCTGAGGCCATGTCCCAAGTACATGTGGCTGAGAGGTGTAGAAACCTTTCTTCTGTAGAACAAAGGCTCTACCTTAAATGCTGTGTGCTGAAAATGCTGGGACCCTGATGGCCTTTGCCCTGGCTCATGAGGCAATGATTCCATGCCAGGAAAGGCAATCTGAGAGAACCTCAGGCTGTTCCCCTTTCCCCTATGTCCACCAAGCACTCAGTCCCTAGGCAAGATGTATCACTCATAGAAAAGCTTGTCATTTTCTCCAACTTCAGCTCCAGAGCCCTGTCTCAGAGATTTTATTTGGGGGTAGGGAGTAGGCTATAAAACTTGTAGCTCCTAATTTCTTGCCAAAGGGGCTGATTTCACTTGCAACAGACTTTAGAGAAGTTCAAGCTGAAGGGTGTTGTGAATAACAGGAGAGTGAGGGAATAAGGGAACTGGGAGGTGCTTCAAAATACAGGCTAAACTGTAGGTTTAGACCTGGTAAATATAACATCAGGGAGGAGCCCTTCTGGAGTCAGAACATAATCAGTCACTGACCTCAGACACACTTCCAATGAAAGAGCCAGAATTTAATTGGGTTAGCTCATAGAGCAATTATACTCCAGGGCACTGCTGGAAATAACAGAGCAATAAGCAACTAGTTATCTAGGAACAGGTGATCAGGGAAATAGAGGAAGACAGCCCTATCAAAATCAGTGTCATGTCAGGGTGACTGTGGGCATGTTCTAAACTGAAACTCCCTGAGTAGCAACATCAGAGGCACAACATTCCTGGGCATGATAGAAGGAATAGGCTTTACTAGCACAATCCAACCGATTACTAAACAAAGAAAATGACAGCAGGCCTGGAAGGAGAGGGCCGTAACCAGAGTACTACAATATATAATTTAAAGTATCCACTATCTAACAAAAATTTACAAATACACAGGAAAGCATGACCTATACATTGGAAAAAAGCAGGGAACAAAAACTGCCTGCAATAGTAACCAGATATTGGACTTATCCAAAAAAGAGATTTTAGTGTAGCCATTATAAATATATTCATAGAACTAAAGGAAACATAAAAAAGTGAGAATACTCAAATTACTAGAATCAGAGATGAAAGAAGGGACATGATGACTGACCTTATCATAATTATAAGGATTATTAAAAAGAATACTGTGAACAGTTGTATATCCATAAATCTGGAACTTAAATGAAATGGACAAATTCCTAGGAAGACACAAACTACTGAAACTAGCCAAAAAGAAGTCAATATGAACAGACTCATACGAGGTAAAGAGACTGAAAAGTAAGCAAACACTACCCACAAAGAAAAGCCAAGGTCCAGATGGCTTCATTACTGAATTCTATTGCACATTCAGTGAAGAATTAATACCAATTATTCACAAACTATTTCAAAAAGTAAAAAGACAAGATATTTCCCAACTAATTTTATGAGGTCAGCATTACCTTGATACCCAAGCCAGACAAAGATATTACATTAAACCTATAGATCAGTATCTGTTGGGAATATGGATGAAAACATCTTAAGCAAATATTAGCAAAGTGAATCCAGCAACCTATAAAGGGAGTTATACACCATGACCAAGTGAAATTTATCAGAAATGCAAGGTTAATTTAACATCCGAAAATCAATTAATTTAAGAGAGCATATCAATAGAGTGAAAGTCACCTGATCACCTTATAGACACAAAAAAGACATTTGACAAAATTTAACACCCTTTTATGATAAAAACACTAAAAAAAAATAGTAATAGAAGAAAACTTTCTCAATTTGATAAAGAGTAGCTATGGCAAACCCACAACTAATAGTTTACTTAATGGTGAAAGTGTGAATGCTTTCCCCCAAATCAGGACCGAAACAAGGATTTCACTTATCACTTCTATTCAACATTGTCTGGAGGTTCTACCCAGGGAACTTAGGCAAGAAAAAGTAATCAACTGCATTCAGGTTAGAAGAGAAGTAAAACTATCTCTATTTACAAATGATCTTCTATACAGAAAATCCTAAAGAAGCCACTAAAAAAAACTATTACAACAAATAAATGAGTTTAACAAGATTGGAGAAAACATGACGAGCACACAAAAATCAAATTTATTTCTATACACTTGCAATGAACCACCCAAATATGAAATTAAGGAAACAACTTCATTTACAATAACAATAAAAAGGATAAAATACTTAAGAATACATTTAACAAAAGAAGTACAAAATTTATACTTTGAAAACTCCAAAATGTAAAAAAAAAAAAAAAAGGGATCCCTGGGTGGCGCAGCGGTTTGGTGCCTGCCTTTGGCCCAGGGCGCAATCCTGGAGACCCGGGATCGAATCCCACATCGGGCTCCCGGTGCATGGAGCCTGCTTCTCCCTCTGCCTATGTCTCTGCCTCTCTCCCTCTCTCTGTGACTATCATAAATAAATAAAAATCAAAAAAAAAAAATTAAAAAAAAAAAAAAAGAAAACTCCAAAATGTTGTTGGAAGAAATTAAAGATCTAAATAATTGTAAAAAATATCTCATGTTCATGGATCAGAAGATGTAACATAGTTAAGATGGCAACATGCTCCAAGGCTATCTACAGACTCAACGTAATTCCCATGTGAATCTTAAATGACTTCTTTGTAAAAGCTGGATAGCTGATTCTGGAATTCATATGGAATTGCAAGGGACCCAGAGCAGCAAAAACAGTCTTGGGAAAAAAAAAAAAAAAAAAAAAAAAGCATGATCCATGCTTCCTGGTTTTAAAACTTACTATGAACCAACAGTAATCAAGACAGTGTGGAAGTACAAGGATAGATCAGTGGAATGCATTTGAGAGTCTAGAAATAAACCATAAATATGTGGTCAACTGATTTTCAACAAAGATGCCAAGACCATTCACTGGGGAAAGAAGAGTCTCCTTAACAAATGGCAAGAGACCAACTAGATATCCACATGCTAAGGAATAAAGTTGGACCCTTACCTCACACTGTATATAAAACCCTCAAATAGATCAATGACCTAAATGTAAAAGCTTAAACATAAAACTATTAGAAGGAAACAAAGGGATAAATCTTCATGACCTAGGATTTGACAAAGGATTGTTAAATGCCAAAGAACAAGAAACAAAGGAAAAGATATATTAGACTTTGTCAAAATTTTGTGCTTCAGTGAACATCAATACGAAAGTGAAACGACAATGTATAGAATGCGAGAAAATATTTCAAGAAAATGTATCTGATAAGGAACATACACACATGTAAAGAACGGTCATAATTTTTAAAAAAACCAAACAATAATCCAATTAAAAATGGGCAAAGGATATGAATAGTTCCTCCAGGCAAGATATACAAATGGCCAATAAGCACATGAAAAGATGGTCAACATCATTAGTCACCAGGAAAATTGAAATCAAAACCACAATTAGGTATCTCTTCATGTCCACTAGAATGGTCAGAATGAAAAAATCAGATAACAACAAATATTGGTGAAGATGTGGAAAAACTGGAACCCTCATGCATTGCAGGTAGAATGTAGAAAGATAAAGCTACTCTGGAAAACAGTTCCTCAAACTGTTTAAACATAAAGTTACTAAATTACCAAGCAATTAAACATAAGTTACTAAATTAAACATTAAGTTACCAAACATAAAGACACTAAATTACCAAGCAATTTCACTTTTTAGTAAAGCCCAAGAGAAATAAAAACATATGTCCAAACAAAAACTCTTGCATGAAGGTTTACAGTAGCATCATTCATAATAGCTCAAAGATGGAAACAAGTCAAATGTCTATCAACTGACAGATAAATATGACATATCCATACAATGAAATATAATTAGGTCATAAAGAGGGATTAAGTACTGATACATGTTACAACATGGATGAACACTGAAAACACTGTTAGTCAAAAGAAGCTAGTCAAAAAGACCACATATTATTTGAGTGCACAAACAGGAAATATCCAGAACAGGGAAATTTACAGAGATGGGAAGTAGTTTGGTAGTGGGAGGGGTGAATGAGGACATAGAGAGATGATAGTTAAAGGGTAGAGGGATTCAATCTAAGGTGACACAAATGTTCTAAAACTGACCACAGGGGATCCCTGGGTGGCGCAGTGGTTTGGAGCCTGCCTTTGACCCAGGGCGCGATCCTGGAGACCGGGGATCGAATCCCACATCGGGTTCCGGTGCATGGAGCCTGCTTCTCCCTCTGCCTGTGTCTCTGTCTCTCTCTCTCTATCATAAATAAATAAAAAAATTTAAAAAAAATAAATAAAACTGACCACAGAAATGGTTGCATATCTGTGAATGTATGAAAAACAACCGAGTTGAATGCTTTAAATGGGTGAATCGTATGGTATGTGAATTATATCTTAATATAGCTGTTAAAAAAAACTTAAATGCTTAACTATTTTTTTCTTAAGTAATCTCTATGCCTAATGTGGGTTCAAACTCATGACTCTGAGATCAAAAGTCACATATTCTACCAACTGAGCCAGCCAGGGACCCTAAATGCTTAAACTATTTTTGAATACTGCTTATCTTTATGATATTTATTTATATCAAGGACTTTGCTATTTTGGAAATAGAAATGGATGTGTAAAGCTTATGAACTCTTTCAATTACACTAGTGATTTCCAATATACTAATGAGGTAGTTGGAAAACCTGAAAACGTCAATAATTACCTGGTCAACATTCTAAAATAGATCCACAATTCTCAGATGGATATTTTTCTATAAACTTATTTTTTCTGATACCAAAGCCCTTCCTTAAACTGAAATGTTAGAATAACAAACACCCCACCCTAATACCTTCAATAGAACTAAGTGTTATTTTACAGACCGATTTGAGTTGGCTATTTTCATCTTTCAGTTTCACAACATGCTTGATTTTTTGCTTTAGATTTTGATGACCCAGTAATTTAGCATATGAATCTCTTAGTTTATTTAGCTGTTCCTGAGCGGCACCATGTTCATTCAACAAAGCCTGTTTCTCTGCTTCAAATGCATCCAGTTGTAGCTGAAAAAGAATTTTTAAAAATAGACTTAGAAATGTTAAATTTACTTTTCTCATATAAACTACATAGGAAAATCAAGTACAAAAAAAACCCAAAAACAAACGAAGGATGAAAACAGATCATGCGGACATATTCTCAGGGCTCTCCATAAATTCTTTGAGACTTTAAAAAAATCAATACTGTTTTTCCACTTTTTAAAGTGTGGAGATTAGCATTTATCTTTTTAAATTTTAAGATAGGTATATTACTTTGAAAAACACAGAAAGATCATAACAAAGTGAGTATCACAAATTTACATACGTTAATTATCAAAAATTTATAGCAGGAGAGCCTTCTAAACTATTAACTTTAAGTTTCTTATTAGAAGGTAGTTTTTAGCCTATAAAGACTACATAAAAAATTGTACATATAATTTAAAAAAAAATTTGTAAGTCTCATTTAATAGGGAGTTAAATTGGTACTGTAAATGTACAGCAGAATGATCTTTCAGAAAAACCAAGTCACTGTGGTGACTGTCACAGGGAACGAGGTGAAAGCCTAAAACAAACACAAGTTAGTGTAGTCCCAACTGACAAACCTGAAAAGGTTTTGTTTTATTATATAGTTCTTCATAAAGGAGACGCCACTTATTCATTTCCTCAGTTAACTCTGCCACTGTGTTTTCTTTTCCAGCTTTTCTGTAAGGCAAAATGAAATTTAAAAACATAGTGTATTAGAAAAAAATAACTGCGGTTGTATGGCAGTCAGGTTCTAAACCTAGATTACCTTGTTTCTTCCTCTTCCAGTTGTTTCTTTAACTCTTCACCATTTTGCTTGAGTTGGTTCTGCAAATCAGTTATTGTTTTAAGAGAAGAGACTGTGATTTCTTTAATTTCTGCTTCTTTAAGTGCTGATTTGGTCTGCAGATCCAGGAGCATCCTTGAGTTTAAGAGAGAAGAGTCCACTAAACATTTTATAGCCATTTTAATAACTTTTTCCCTTTCTTTTACTTAAAAAAAGAAAAAAAAAAACAACTCAAAGAACTCTTCAAAAATTTTTTAACTGTGTAAATTCTTTTTTTTTTTTTAAATTTTATTTATTTATGATAGTCACACACAGAGAGAGAGAGAGAGAGAGAGAGAGAGAGAGGCAGAGACATAGGCTGAGGGAGAAGCAGGCTCCATGCACTGGGAGCCCGACGTGGGATTCGATCCCGGGTCTCCAGGATCGCGCCCTGGGCCAAAGGCAGGCGCTAAACTGCTGCGCCACCCAGGGATCCCCTAACTGTGTAAATTCTTAATTTGCAATTGAAGATCACCCAGAGCAATGAAATTAAAATTCCCTGCATCACTTAGTAGTTGGCTTTCGACATTTAATTGTCTTAATGGTTCTAAGGCTATAAGTATGGACAGGTTTTAGTTCTCCCATGTACCTTGCGTATTCTTGATTTGCATTCTCAGTTGCCAATATCTGATGTTGAGTATCTTCTGCACTTTTCTCAGCCCTGGTCACTTTTTCCTGAAGTGACAAGTTCTCCAATTTAAGATCTTCTATCTCCCGAGCCATAAATGCTTTATAACTTATTAAAAGGAAAATAAAAAGTTGAAGGATTTTTCTAACTATTGCGTGCATGATAAATAAATAGCTGATTAGTTTATATTTTATACAATTTAAGGTAACACAAATAAAACCTTATGAACCGTGCATTTACACAGGTAAGAATTCGGTATTCTGAGGTCAGTACTAATGAGCTGATATGGCATAGGCTGTTCATCCAAAGAAGAAAAAAAAATTAAGTGGTTACTATGTGTATGAAGTATACCTAACATGAAAATTACTCCAAAATAAATAAATATATGATCTCTGCACCTATTGTCACAGAGTTTATGGTTTTGTGGGGAAGATAAGGAAATGCCTCTTCAGGTTTTCACAAAAAAATGTGAAAATATATGTATAATAAAATTTGTATTATGAAGAAAACTAGAGAAGAGTGCCTGGGTGGCTCAGTTGGTTAAGCAACTGCCTTTGGCTCAAGCTCAGCCCGTCAGGCTCTCTGCTCAGTGGGGAGTCCATTTTGCCCTCTCATTCTGCCCTGCCCCCACACTCACCTGTGCACTCTCCCACAAATAAATAAAGCTTAAAAAAGGAAAAAAAAGAAAACTAAGGAGCACTTAAGCTGACAATGGGAATGTACCACTTTTAGTGATTCAAAAAAGGCTCTTCTGAGGAATTTATAGTTAAGCTGAGATGTGATGGTTAAAGAAAAGTTAGCTAGGGTTCAGGTGAAAGTGTTGCCAAGGGAAAAGAAGCATCCATGCTGGGAGGCAGGTAGAACACAGTACACTAAGAGATGAGACTGGAATGTAATGAAGAAGAGATGCAGGAACGGATGCTAGAGACATAAGGCAGTCATCACTGTGGTGTACATCAGCCCAGATGAGTGATACACGATGGTTGGACTAAGGAGTTGGCAATGGAAAGATGTGAAATCTTTTCTGAAGACAAAATCACAAATTTCACAAAATAGGGTGGATGTTAGGAGAAAGGGAGAGAAAATGATTAAAGATGACTCAGGTTTATGGAATGAGAAGCTGGGAAGAGGGAGATGTCATTGACTGAAATAAGAGGAAGAAAGAGACAGAAAATCAAGAGTTGTTCTGGACAGGTTAATATTACACAGTAGGGAGATATCTACCTGGAGATGTCAAATAGGCAGCTAGATAGATGGGTATAAAGCTGAAAGATCTGGTTTGAAGAAATATTTTTTTTTCAAAGATTTTACTTATCTATTCATGAGACACACACACACACACAGAGGCAGAGACGCAGGCAGAGGGAGAAGCAGGCTCCCTGCAGGGAACCTGATGCAGAACTTGATCCCAGGACCCTGGGGTTCATGACCTGAGTCAAAAGCAGATGCTCAACCACTGAGCCATCCAGGTACCCCTGAAGAAATAAATTTTAATGCTATTAGCATATAGATGGTGAGTGAAGTCATAGAATGGCTAAAAGGCTTCCAAGGCACAATTTTTGAAAGTAGCAGGAAAGGAAATCCCTCCACAGAGTTGAAAAGAATACTAAAATATAATTTATATTTATGCTTGGACAAATATAAATTAAAAATATATGTACACATATACTTGTACTAGATTATCCATATGGAAAAACAAAAAAAATTTGATCCCTATATCACTGCACACACAGAAACCTGTTCTAGATGGGAAAATGAAACTTTATTTATTTTTTTTAATTTTTATTTCTTTATGATAGTCACACAGAAAGAGAGAGAGAGAGAGAGAGAGGGAGAGGCAGAGACACAGGCAGAGGGAGAAGCAGGCTCCATGCACCGGGAGCCCGACGTGGGATTCGATCCTGGGTCTCCAGGATCGCGCCCTGGGCCAAAGGCAGGCACCAAACCGCTGCACCACCCAGGGATCCCGGGAAAATGAAACTTTAAAAGAACATAAATATGTTCTTTAGACAGAAAGAAGTTATTAAACTATATGCAAACATGTTCATATCAAAATCTATAAATTCAAACATAAAATTAGGACACCAGGGTGGCTGCGTTGGTTGGGTTATCTGACTTTTGATTTTGGCTTGGGTTATGATCTCAGGGTTGTGCGGCTCCACATTCAGTGGTGTGTCTGATTTGCTTCCTCTGCCCCTCCCCACTATGCTGTGCGCTCTCATTCTCTCAATAAATGTTTAAAAAAAATTAAAATCAAGAATTTCTAGTCATGAGAAGAAACCATAAAGAAAATGAAAAGTCATACTTTGGTAGAAGATATTTGGAACCATACTGCTGATAAAAACTTTACTATCAGGAAAAGATAGTGATACTATAGAGAAATGAATAAAAGTCATATACGAGTCTTTTATAGAAAAGGAAAGGTGGATTATTCCCAGGAGAAAGTCATTTTACACTAAGTACACTGGTAAAATTTAAGAAATACAACAAACTTTGGAGAGGAAGTAGATCAACGGTTACCTGTATAACCCTAGTGAAACTGTAGATTCTCACTGCCACTTTGTAAGGCAATTTGGCATTACATTTTAAAGTTGAACATTCACATATGTAGGACTTTAGTGTAATTGTTATACATGTATACTAGGAGACTACAAGAATATTCCTAAGAATACTATTAAAAATAACAAAAGTTTCTATGAAACATTTAGAGTTAATACCTATTCTTCTCAAACTATTCAAAAAAAAATAATAAGAGGAAGGAAAACTTGCAAATTCATTCTTTGAGGCCAGTATCATTCAAGCACAAAAATCAGATAAAGACACCACAAAAAAAAAAAAAAAAAAAAAACAGAACTATACGCTACTACCTCTTATAAATATAGATGCAAAAGTCCTCAACAAAATATTAGCAAACTGAATCCAACAATACATTAAAAAACAAACAAACAAACAAACAAAAAACACACACACAGCACAACTGAGTAGGATTTATTCCTGGGATATAATCAACATCACATCAATAAAGAAAGGATGAAAATCATATGATCATTTCAATAGAAGCAGAAAAAATATTTGACAAATGATAAATGATACTCATGATAAAAACCCTCTGTAAAGTAGTAAAGTAGGTCTAGAGGGAACAAACTTCAACATAATAAAGGCCTTATATGAAAAACCCACAGCCAACATTATACTCAATAGTGAAAAACTGAGAGCTTTTCCCTCAAGGTCAGGAACAAGACAAGGATGTCCACTCGACCACTTTTATTCAACATAGTACTGGAAATCCTAGCCACAGCAATTAGACAACAAAAAGAAATAAAAGGCATCCAAATTGGTAAGAAAGAAGTGAAACTCTCACTATTTGTAGATGACATATGTATAGAAAATCCTAAAGAATCCACCAAAAAACTACTAGAACCGATATATGAATTCAGTAAAGTCACAGGATACAAAATCAATGTATAGAAATGTGTAGTATTCTTATACACTAATAATGAAGCAGAAAGAGAAATTAAGAAAATACCATTTAGAATTGTACAAAAAACAATATCTAGGAATAAACTTAACCAAAGAAGTGAAAGATCTGTACTCTGAAAACTGTAAAATATTGATGAAAGAAATTCAAGATGACACAAAGAAATGAAAAGACATTTCATGCTCATAGGTTGAAAGAACAAATATTGTTAAAGCTTCTGTACTGCTCAAAGCAATCTACAGATGTAATGCAATCCCTATCAAAATATCAAGAGTGTTTTTCACAGAACTAGAACAAATCCCCAAATTTGTATGGAACCACAAAGACCTCTTGAAATAGAAAAGCAATCTTGAAAAAGAAAAACAAAACTTGAGTTACCACAATTCCAGATTTCAAGTTATGGTACAAAGTGGTAATTAAAACAGTATGATACAGGCATAGATCAATAAGACAAAACAGGAAATTTGGAAATAAACCCACAATTATGTAGTCAATTAATCTTGGACAAAAGAGGACAGAATATACAATGGGAGAAAGACAACTTCTTCAACAAGTGGTATTGGGAAAACTGGACAAACAAATGAAACTGTACCAGTGTCACCATACATAAAAATAAACTCACAACTGCATTAAAGACCTTAATGTGAGACTGGAAGCTATAACAATCCTTGAAAGAGCATAGGCATTAATGTTTCTGCATTGGTTGTAACAATATTTTTCTAGCTACGTCTGCTGAGGCAAGGGAAATGAAAGCAAAAGTAAACTATTGGGACTATATCAGAATAAAAGCTTTGGACTAGTGAAGGAAACCATCAATAAAACTAAAAGGCAACCTACTGAGTGAGAGAAGATATTTGCAAATGACACATCCAGTGATGGCTTAGTACCCAAAATATATAAAGAATATATAACTCAACATCTAAAAAAACGAATAGTTCAATTAAAAAATGAGAAGCCATGAACAGACATTTCTCTAAAGAGATCTAGATGGCTAACAGATACATGAAAAATGCTCAATATTACTTGTCACCAGGGAAATGTAAATCAAAACTACAATGAGATATCACCTCTCACTTATCAGAATGGCTAAAATCAAAAACACGAGAAAGAAGTGTTGATGAGGATGTAGAAAAAAAGGCACTCTCTTGCACTATTGGTGCAAGACACTATAGAAAACAGTATGCTGGTTCCTCAAAAAATTAAAAATAGGAATACCCTATGACCCAGTAATCACACTACTGGGTATTTACCCCCTATACAAAAGCACTAATTCAAAGGGACACATGCACTCTTATGTTTATAGCAGTATTATCAATAACAGCCAAACTATGGAAGCAGCCCAAGTGTCCATTGATAGATGATTAGATACAGAAGATGTGGTAGATACATATACAATGGGTTATTCGGTCATAAAAAAGAAATGAAATCTTACTATTTCCAACAGTATGGATAGAGCTAGAGAATACAATGTTAAGCACAGTAAGTCAGAAAAAGACAAATACCATATGATTTCATTTATGTGGAATTTAAGAAACAAAAAAGCAATTAAGTAAATAAAAGAGAAACACAGAGAGAGATAAATCAAGAAACAGACTCTTAACTATAGAGAATAAACTGATGGTTACCAGAGGGGAGATGGGTGGGGGGATGTGGGAAATAGGGGATAGGGATTAAAGAGTATACTTATCATGATGAAAAAAATAAAAATAATAAAAAAAAATGCACAAAAGAAATGAAAAACCAACCCAAAGCTCAAAGTGAGAATGGGTAAATTGTGCTATATTAATAAAATCAAATATTCTACAGCAGTTACTATGAATAAACTATAACCTCAGTCAACAATGTGATTTGATTCTTGAAACATACATAATGCAGAATATAAAGACAAGTCTCAGGAAATGGCATACACCATAATCACACTTTTTGGCAAGGTTCAGGAAAAAGGCAAAATTATGTATTATTTGTATGGATATAGATGCTATAAAATTATACACAGGGAAAAAGTTTATTATTATTTTAAAAAATATTTTATTTATTTATTCATGAGAGACACATAGAGAGAGGCAGAGACATAGGCAAAGGGAGAAGCAGGTTCCTCGCAAGGGAGTCTGATGCGGGCGGGACTCGATCCTCGGACTCTGGGATCATGCTCTGAGCTGAAGACAGATGCTCAACCGTTGAGCCACCCAGGTGTCCCGTGAGGAAATTATTAATGCAGAATTTAAATGGTGTTATCTGTTGGTGGATAGCAGGCAGATGGGATAGTAGAGAAACTCTTACGTAATACCAAATTATTGAAATCTTTTGGCTTACTGGTTTGGTTGTCTTTTACAGGTTCATGTATGTTGATTTCATCTTTATGTTTTATACTTTATGTTTAGTAACCTTCTATATTTATTAAATACATTAAAATAGATATAAGACAAAGAGACCTCATCCCAAAATGATCTAAATATAATAAAAATGTTTATATTAATATGCTTTTGGTGTGAGATGCGCACCAATTTCTTAAATTATCATCTGGGGGATCCCTGGGTGGCTTGGTGGTTTAGCGCCTGTCTTTGGTCCAGAGCGTGATCCTGGAGTCCTGGGATCGAGTTCCACATCAGGCTCCCTGCATGGAGCCTGCTTCTCCCTCTGCCTGTATCTCTGACTCTCTCTCTCTCTCTCTCTCTCTCTCTGTCTCTCATGAATAAATAAATAATCTTAAAAAAAATCGTAAAAAAAATTATCATCTGCAATTTGTAGTTCCTCCCAAAATAGCCCTCCCCCTGCCCCTTTTTAAAAGGGAAATAGTAAGTAGATGGAATAGGAAGTGAGGAAGTGGAGATAGTAAGTGTAGAGAATTTTTTATCAAGACAAACTACAAAGATGAGTAGAATTTTGGATTAAGAAGGGTGCTGGGAGTGAGAGGTGTTGCTGGATAGCTGCAGAAGGAAGAGGGGGCCAAAGGAATTAATAAAATTAATGTATTTTAAAGATTTTATTTGAGAGACAGAGAGAGAGAGAGAGAGAGAGATCTCATGACCCTGAGATTGTACCTTATCTGAAATCAAGAATCAGACACTTAACTGAGTTACCTAGGTGCCCCTAAAATTTATGTATTTTAAAGATAAGTGCACATTAACATGTTTTAATATTGAATGGAAAAAATCCAGTAGAAAGGTTGAAAAGGACAAATGGAATAATGTCATTGAAGGTTAAAAGACTGGAACGCTTCTGTAGTGGTAAGAGAGGGTGAGCATAAATGCAGGTGTTTACAGGTTTGGTAATGAGGAGAAACAAAATTTAGAATTCTTCATGAGGAAAAAGATGGTGTCAAGGAGATTAAGACAGAAGCTTGAAAGGTTTGAGAGTGCATGAAATTGGAAGGGGCTGGCAGGAAAGGAAATTTGTATACTACACTCTAAGATTACCAGGTAACCCTAGTTGCCCATTTATGGTTGGTCATTACAGAATTTAGAGTAATACCAACCACTTTATTTGTGTGATTATTTTTCCAGATTTCACTAGCCACACCTCCCCACTCATATTATATTTGGGAGTGCAGACTCTTAATAAGAATACCTTTCAAATTGAGCAGTAGCATCTCCAAGGCTTTGCACTATACTATGATAGCTCTCCTGCAAAAGCAGAGTGGCTTGACTGTGAGCAGCATTACTTTCTTCCAGTTCAGCTTCTTTCCTAGGGAATAAATAAAAGATAAAACACTAATTACAAATCATTATTCTAAGAAAAGGATTAGTATTTACCTTTGACACTGTGAATCATGTGTCCAATGTCTGCATCTTTGCACACTATCCGGTAGCTTAGATCTAACTTTATGATCTGCCTTTTTTTTCTTTAAAGATTTTATTTATGTATTCATGAGAGACACAGAGAGAGAGAGGCAGAGACACAAGCAGAGGGAGAAGCAGGTTCCATGCAGGGAGCCGGACATGGGACTCGATCCCAGGTGTCCAGGATCAGGCTCTGGGCTGCAGGTGGCACCAAACCGCTGAGCCACCGGGGCTGCCCCTATGATCTGCTTCTGATAGCATGTTTATTTCTGTACTAACTTCTCTTTTGGTTACTTTATGTACTAACTTCTCATCTTATCTTTCTTGCCCTTATTTTACTTTTGTTTTTATTCTAATGTACTCATTTCTAAATTTTTCTTTCAATTTGCATGTATTTATGTAAGTAGTTAAAACATTTGTTTTTGGAAGAAGATAGGGTTAAAAGACTCTAAAACAATCTTAGCAGCAGCAACCAAAACTAAAGAATGTGAAAAATTACCAGTTAAAAAGCAGTTGGATTGTATAAAGTGTCTCTGCATTTAAACATTTAAGAAATACTAAGTGTCTTTAACTACACTTGGTACTTCTTTGGAAAAAAGTTTATAGGACCATGTATATTTATTTTATTTCAGTAATCCACATAATAAATTGTTATTATTCAAAAATTTAATAACTTGGATCCCTGGGTGGCGCAGCGGTTTGGCGCCTGCCTTTGGCCCAGGGTGTGATCCTGGAGACCCGGGATCAAATCCCACATTGGGCTCCCGGTGCATGGAGCCTGCTTCTCCCTCTGCCTGTGTCTCTGCCTCTCTCTCTCTCTCTGTGACTATCATAAATAAATAAGAATTTAAAAAAAAATAAAAAAACACAAAAATTTAATAACTTATTTGGTGGATTATTTTATATAGGCAAAATAGTGTCTTTTTTTTTTTTTTAAGATTTTATTTATTTATTTATGTGAGAGATAGAGGCAGAGACATAGGCAGAGGGAGAAGCAGGCAGAGGGAGAAGCAGGCTTCCTGTGGGGAGCCTGATGCAGAATTCAATCCCAGGACCCTGGGATTACGACCTGTGCCAAAGGCAGATGCTCAACCACTGAGCCACCCAGGCATCCCACAAAGTAGTTTTTAAGATCTTTTTTTATATACATTACAAGCCTCAGAAATTTTTTGAAATATTAACATTATGTATTACCAAACTGGTGATAAAAATTTTTATTTTTTTTTTTTAATTTTTTTTTTTTCTATTTAGTTATGATAGTCACAGAGAGAGAGAGGCAGAGACACAGGCAGAGGGAGAAGCAGGCTCCATGCACCGGGAGCCTGACGTGGGATTCGATCCCGGGTCTCCAGGATCGCGCCCTGGGCCAAAGGCAGGCGCCAAACCGCTGCGCCACCCAGGGATCCCGATAAAAATTTTTAGATGAGCATATGAGCTTGTAAGAGATCTTTTAAATAACATCTAAAACTCAGAACTATAAATAAGAAGCTTTATTTACTAATCGGCTAAGTCAGACATAGACAAAATAAACAGCTAATCAAATTCCTTCCATAATGGGCGTGGGATTTAAAAATATAAACACCAACAGCTAAAAGCAATCACATAGTAGTAAAGCATTTATAACAAAAATATTCTCTTCCCTGTTCCATAGAGAAATCACTTTCAATTTCTTAGTTTTTCTCTTACACCTAAAATTTCTAAGCTAGAAGGGACCTTAGAGATCATGCCATTAAAACCCCTTTATTTTATATCTAATGAAATAGAAAATTAAAGAAATTTGAATTGTCTTGCTTAATATCACAGAGCTAGTTGGCAGATCCTGTAATAAAATCCGTATCTCCCAATCTCTGTACCCAATTCCTTGAGTTATAATAAATGTCTCAACTTTCTTTCTTCTCTGAAAACTGACATCATCTACTCAGTTTCTTAAAGTGCCTGTGCTCTGAGACTGGCTCCAGTATAGAACTATTCCCTTATTAACACTTTGGTACTGCTCCCCGCAAAAGCAGGCATATATAAAATCTTTGTGTCCTTTTATCACTTATCATCACAATAAAACAGAAAAAGGATTTTAATAAAAATATCTAATAGGAGATAGATACACACTTGTGAGATACATTACAATTCTGTAAATTCGTATGTAATTCTTGATTCCTTGCTAGAAATATTTTTAGTAAGGAAATCCCAAGGATTCAAGTAACAATTATTTTAGTTACAACTTGAACTCAAGAATCAACCTGGATGTTTTAATTTAAATAAATGCAGTGGAGAAGGATGCATAATGTGATAAAAATAATACGGAATTAGAATTAAAAGAAGTTCAAAAGGCACCTAGTTAGGTCAATTAGTGGAGCAATGGGCTCTTGATCTTGGGGTTGTGAGTTCAAAGTCTCACATTTGGCATGGAGCCTACTTTCAAAGAAAAGTCTGAGATCTCTTAAATTTCTTATTTTTGAGTGTTTCCCAGGTTTTTTTTTTTTTTTTCTCACATTGCTTCTCTGATCGCTACTTCTGAGTACTTATGCTACCTCAGAAAACGTAATTAAAGGTATAACTTATGCTATGTAAACTAATGTACACATAGGTGAAAAATGGAAATGTTTCTTATTAAAGGATGGGATCTCAGCTTTTTTTTTTCTCTAAATCTATTATTGCTAAAATGCTGACATTCAATAATTTCAGACAACATACGAGCGCAAAGGAACCGCAAATTTTGGTCATTTGTTTATTAACATCCTTTTAAATTGCTGGCCTTAAAAAAAGAAAGAAAGTATGCTTCTGACTTGGCTATAATACCTGTTTATATATGCCTTCTATGGGTATACTTTACTTCTCTCTATTTCTTACTTGTAAAATAATTCCAACTTCACTTACTCGCATGGTTGACATTAGAATCCTGAAAGCATGTACTGGAAAACACCTTTTTAACATCTGAAGTCGTACTAAACATGAGGTCTTATTAATACAAACCCTTTCAGCTTTTCTTCTAGGAGTTTCAGTTCTTCAGCTCGAGATTTTGTTTCTTCTTCCAACTGTCTGACTAGCCTTTCAGCTTGTTCCTCTTTTTGCTGTAATTTATCTAGCTCATCCAGTGCTTGCTTTAATTCTTCCTCAAAGAGATTCCTCTCTTTCATCATTTCCTCTTGAAAGGAACATAGCTTCTGTTGAAGACTGGAGGACAGTTCCTACAACCAAACAGAAAATCACCAAAATAATATGAAATGACATCATGAGGCTTTTACTAAGCACAAAAAAGAAGTACAGATAATAAAATATGAATACTAAATTCAAGAGCTTCAAGAAACTTGAAAAATATAGATATCACCTGCATATTGTCATGGATTATATCTTGCACTGTGTTAACACTGTAGTAAATGTCATTTCAGTATTTTTTCTATGCAACACACACCCACACATACTTCTTATAAAACTAAAATTATAATTTACAGCTGACTTTCAATATATATTTCTCTCAGATGATACTTTATAAAAAATGTACTATGATTTCAATAGTATATAAGTATTTTAAAGTTATACAATATACAAATAAATCACCATTGTGAAAAAATTCTAACATTAAAATAAAGTGAAGATGGCACAAATAAATGGAGAGATATTCTGTCTTCATGGATTGGAAAAATTAGCATTGTTAAAATATCCATACAATGACAGCAATCTATAGATTCTATGCAGTTTCTATAAAAATGGGAATTTTCACAGAAATACAACAATGCTAAAATTTGTATGGAAACACAAAAGACCCTGAATAGCCAAAGTGATCTTAGAAAGAACAAAGTTGGAGGCATCATGTTCTCTGATTTCAAACTATCTTACCAATCTATAGTACTCAAAACAGTATGGTATTGGTATAAAAACAGACACACTGGACAGAGTCCAGAAACAAGCCCATACATATAGTTAATATATGATAAAAGAGCTGAAAATATATAATGGGGAAAGAACAGTTTCTTCAATAAATGGTATTTGGAAAACTGGAAAATCACAAGCAAAAAAAAACTTGCTTGTGGACTTATACTATCTTATATCATACACAAAAAATAACTCAAAATAAAGACTTAAATTTAAGACCTGAAACCATAAATCCAGAAGAAAACACAGGCAGTTAACGATCTTGGTGATAATCTTTTGGATATGACACCAAAAGCAAAGGCAACAAAAGCAAAAATAAACAAGTGGGACTAAAGCAAAAATAAACAAGTGGGACTATATCAAACTAAAATCCTTCTGCACAGGAAAGAAAACCATTCAGAAAATGAAAACATAACCTAGTGAAATCGGAGAAAATATTTGGGAGAATAATGGGAGAAAAACTTAACCCTAGTAAAATGGAAGAAAATATTTGAAAATCATATATCTGATAAGGGGTTAATATCCAAAATGTATAAAGAATTCTTACTATTAAAAATGAAAAAACTTGGGGCACCTGGGTGGCTCAGTTGGCCAAGTGTCTGTCTTTGGCTCAGGTCATGATCCCACGGTCCTGGGATCAAACCCTGCGTTGGGCTCCCTGCTTGGCGGGAGCCTGCTTCTTCCTCTCCTCCCCACTCATGCTATCTCTGTCTTTTGCTCTCAAATAAATAAAATCTTTAAAACAAAAACAAAAGGAAAAAAGAAAAAACTTCAAACAACCTGATTAAAAACTGGGCAGCAGACATAAATAGACATTTCTTGAAGACATACAATTAGCCAATAGGTACATGAAAAGATGCTCAACATAACTCATCATCAGGGAAATGCAAATCAAAACCACAATGAGATTTACGTTGCACCTGTCAGAATGGCTCTTACCAAAAGGACAAGAAACGGGTGCTTAGTGGGCTCAGTTGGTAGAGCATGTGACTTGATCTTGGGGTTGTGAGTTCAAACCCCATTTTGGCCATAGAGATTACTTAAAACAAAACAAAACAAAAAAACAAAAACAGACAAGAAATAATAAGCGTTGGGGAGAATATGGAGGGAACCCTTGTGTACTTTTGGTGGGAATATCAATCGGTGCAGTCACTATGTAAAACAGTATGAATGTTTCTCAAAAAATTAAATATAGAACTGCCATACAAGCGAACAACTCCACTTCTAAGTATTTATCTGAAGAAAATGAAAATACAAACTTGAAAAGATATACGCACTTAAGGTTCAGCATCATTTATAATAGCCAAGATATGGAAAAAACTTAAATATCTACTGATAGATGAATGGATAAAGAAAATGTGGTGTATACACAGTTGAATATTATTTAGTCATAAAAGAAGAAGGAAATCTTGTTATATGTGATGCTATGGATGGACTTTGAGGGTATTGTAATAAATGAAGTAAATCAAAGAAAGACAAATACTGTATGATCTTATTTGTATGTGGAATCTAAAAATAAGCAAATAAAAACCCCAGCTACAGTGAAGAGTGGTGATTGCCAGAGGCAGGAGTGGGCAAAATGGGTGAAAGAATCAAAAGATACAAACTTCCAGTTAAAAGATACTTTAGTCATGGGGTGTAACATACAGTGTGGTGACTATAGTTAACAATACTGTATTGCATGTCTGAAAGTTGCTAAGAGAATAGATCTTAAATGTTCTCAGACTAAAAAAATTCTATAGCTATATATGGTAACAGATGCTAATTAGACTTATTGTGATAATTTTGTAATATACATGAATATTGAATCGTTACGTTGTATAGCTGAAACATATATACTGTTGTAGGTCAACTGAAAATAAAAACAGGGCTCTAGGCCTTTAAAAAAGAATGGTCACTGTAAATAAGCATTCTTTCCATCCTTTACACTCCTCTAAGTGTAGAGAAAAAAAAAATAAGTGTAGAGAGACACATTTCTTAGATACTAAGATACAAAAAAAACATTTGAAAGGTCTGCCAACAATAACTACAGTTGCTGGACCGGATGGCAGAAAAAAAATAACAAAATAAAAAAGAATCCAAATAAAGTGAAAATTGCCTCTGACTATACCCCACCCCAATCTTAGTTTCTCATTGTAGAGATAACCACTAGTTTGGTATATATGCCTTCTGGTGTTTTTCTATACATTTATATACTTAAAAATGATAGAAACTAAATATGTAAAGGTCATTTAAAAAAAATAAATCCTAAAAATAGTTGTTGAGATCTTTAAGTCAGTATATATGTATCTACTTAATTCCTTCAGTTGTTATATTTCACATCAGTGCATTCTAGTACCTATTTGCTATGCTCTAACTAACATGCTATATAATATCAAATGTTTTAATCTGTGCCAATCTTGTAAGGGAAAAACAATTATTTCTATTTCTTTGATTATCACTAAGATAGAGCATCTTTTCATGTGTATAGATTATCTGAATTTCTACATCTGAGAATGATGAATTTTCATCCTATGCCCAGTGAACTGTTTTTCTCACTAATATGTAAATTATTCTTTATGTAATCTAGATTCTTAAAAATTGTCAATTTTGTTTCACACGCATTTAGACACTATTTTATAACATCACTGTAAATGTAATAATCTAACACAAGAATGTACCAGAAAAGGGCAGCCCTGGTGGCTCAGCAGTTTCATGTGTCTCTCATGAATAAATAAAAATCTTAAAAAAAAAATGTGCCAGAAAATAAATATTTTTAAAATTTCCTTTATTTATTTATTAAAGATTTTATTTATTTATTCACAAGAGGCACACAGACAGGCAGAGACATAGGCAGAGGGAGGAGCAGGCTCCCCATGAGGAGCCTGATGCGGAACTCGATCCCAGGACCCCAGGATCAGGACCTGAGCCAAAGATAGACTCTCAACCACTGTGCCATCCAGGCACCCCTAAATTTTATTTTTAAGTAATCTCTACACCTAGTGTGGGGGCTTGAACTCACAACCCCAAGATCAAGAGTCACATGCTCTAGCGACTGAGCCAGCCAGGCACTCCATCAGAAAATATATATATATATTTTAAAGATTATTTATTTATTTATTTATTCATGAGAAACACAGAGAAGGAGAGAGAGAGAGAGGCAGGACACAGGCAGAGGGAGAAGCAGGCTCCATGCAGGGAGCCCTACGTGGGACACGATCTCGGGTCTCCAGGATCGCGCCCTGGGCTGAAGGCAGGCACTAAATTGCTGAGCCACCCAGGGATCCCCCATCAGAAAATATTTTTAAACAATTTTCTTATTTTGGTTCATCAATTGCTTATAATTTTTTCACATTATCAATAATCCTGTCACGCATCTCTGCATATAAACCTGCAGCATAGACAGAACTATTTATTCGGCATAAGATTCTAAAAATAAAATTGTTGGAGAGAAGAACATATACAATTGAAGTTTTCGGATACACTGGGAAATATATGACATAGAATAAGCACAAGTTGATATTTTTTTTTATATTGTAGCAAACTACCTTTTCTTGTTGCAGAAGTGAATCAGTCTGTAATTCTTTTTGTCGTAGTTTTTCATGTTCCTGTTTTTCAAGAATAAGGTTCTCCTTTAAGTTTTGCATTTCAGAATTTAGAGTTTCATCCCGTACTCTATCCCTGTTGACAAGGTCTTCTATAAAAGTGAAAAATAATGTAATTAGATACTAACTTTGACAAACCGGATTTCCATATATCCATTTTTGCTACTAGCATGTTACACAGATTAAGTATTTCTAAAGAAGTAAAGCCAAAACATAACTCTGAAGTTTGTATCATTTACTATTTGTAATACATATTCTAAAGTATGTAATAAAACCTCCAAACCTGGTTCTGTATCTTCTCATTTTAAATGGCCACCCAATGGAGAAGTCAAGAACTGCACCATTGTATATATATATATATTTTTTTAAAGATTTTATTTATTTACTCATAGAGATACACACAGAGAGAGAAAGAGAGAGAGAGAGAGAAGGAGAGGCAGAGATACAGGCAGAGGGAGAAGGAGGCTCCACGCAGGGAGTCCGATGAAGGACTCGATCCCGGGTCTCCAGGATCATACCTCGGGCTGCAGGTGGCACTAAACCGCTGTGCCACTGGGGGTGCCCCATTGTATATATTTCAATGAAGACAAGCAATATATTGAAACAAACAGAGAACAAATATTATAAAAGATAAAAATTCTCGGAGAACAGGATTCATATGTTTACATAATTACTAAAAAAAAGTTGTTTTAATATACCATTACTTTCCTTAAATATTGTACACATTACTTATCTAAATACCTTTTTCTTTTTCGAGTAGCTGACACTTAGCATTCAGGTCTTCTACTTGTTTAGAAAGTAAAACAACATTTTCCTCAAGAGACTGCTTAAGGCTTACAACTTCATGATTCTTCTCTTTCAAATTTTCTTCTAATTGGGCAATATCTAGCTTGTATTTCTCCACTTGATCTGATGCACAACTGCATTAAAATAAATTATTTTGAAGAGCACATAATTTAGGCACAGGGAAAATTAACTGAAAATGATGTATTCATCACTAATCAACAACGTCCAATGAAAAACTACTATTCATATTACCTAATTTCTTCGATGTATTCTAAGAGTTTTTCTGTTTCAGATTTTTCATCAGTCTTTTCCTTCTCTATTGAAACACTGAAAAAAATTGCATATATCAATACATACAATAATCACACATAATGCTTAATCTGTACCAAATACTGCCATATCAGATAGGCTGTCTCTAGAGTCCAAATTTCCTTTTTTTAAAATGTGTGTGGTTTTTTAAAAAAGATTTTATTTTTATTTTATTATTATTTTTTATTTTTAAAGAATTTATTTATTGATTTGGGATAGAGGGAGAGAGGGAGAGCACAAGCAGGAGGAACAGAAGAAGAGGGAGAAGCAGGGCTTGATCCCAGGACCCCAGGATTATGACCTAAGCTGAGGGCAGATGCTCAACTCACTGAACTACCCAGGCACCCCTATAGATTTTATTTTAAAATAATCTCTACATCCAATGTTGGGCTTGGCTTGAACTTAAAACTTTGAGATCAAGAGTTGCACGCTCAACCACTGAATCCAAATTCTTAACCATTACTTTACGTGACCTCTCAAGTTGACAATTTAAAATATACAAATAGTCTTTGAAGTTTTTTTTTAAGCTTTCCAAATAAATTCTGATAAAAGGGCTATGATGATAAAAATTATTACCTATAACATCCTGAGTGTTAGAAATGATCTTTCTTGTAGCTTTCCTATACACCACACATAAAAAATGCTATTTTGTGTGCTATAATGCCTTTGATTCAGGTTGCCTTTTCTTCAGTTACTCAGGAGTTTTACTTCCTCCAAACAACTCAATTTTAAAAATGAGCAAGAAACTTAAATAGACACCTCACAAAAGGATACACATGAAAGGTCAATGAGCACAGAAAGAGAAACTCGACCCTTATACTAAAAAAATTACAAATGAGACACTACTTTCTCCTTAGTAGAAAGGCCAAAATCAAATAGATTGACAATATCAAACTTTGGAGAGGATAGGGAACAACTAGAACTATCACACATTGCTAAGTGGGACTATAAAATGGTACAACCACTTCTGAGGTTTTGTTTTCTTCAAGATTTTATTTGACAGAGAGAGAGGAGAGAGTAACACAGGGAGAGGGAGAGAGGGAGGGAGAGCACAAGCAGGAGGAGCAGAGGAAGAGGGAGAAGCAGGCTCCCCACTGAGGAGGGAGTCCAATGTGGGGTTCGATCCCAGGACGCCGGGATCATGATCTGAGATGAAGGCAGTGGCATAACCCAGGTGCACCCTCACTTATGAGTTTTTTTTTTCTTTATTTTTTTTCTTTATTTTTTTAAAACACATTATACATATACTATACTACCCTCTGACCTAGGAATTCCAATCCTAAATGTTTATTTCTTGAAAAGTAAAAATTGGTGTCTACAAAAAGAGATACATAGCAGTCTTATTCACAACAGTCAGAAACTGGAAACCCAAATAATTTTCAACAGAGAAATAGTAAACAAATGGAGGTATATTCAGGCAGATATTCAGAAATACTCAGAAATAGAGGAACAAATTATAATACAACAGTATAGATAAATGCCAAAAATATTATGTTAAACAGAGACATACACACACATACTGTGATAAACATCCCCAAAAGGCCTAACTAATTATGATGATGGAAGTAGAAAGTGGTTTCAGAGATTGGGGGACATCACAGTAAGGGAAGAGCAGGGGAGCAGGAAGGAGCAGAAAAAAATTTTCTGGGAGGATGTCAATGTTCTTGATCTTGTTCGGGTAATGAATACAAATACAATTGTCAAAAGTCATCAAACTGAATACTTATGCTATGTAATTATAGCTCAGTAATAAAAAGAAGGCTAGGATTGTGCATTAATCACAGCTTCTTATTCTAATCAATATTCCTCCATTTTGGTCTACCATCTCCATAAGACGGTGTTACAACAAAGATTATGAGGCCTTTCCTCATCATTTATATAGAAGATGGACAAAATTAAAACATTCTTCCATCTTTTCAGTGTAAAATGTTGGGAATCATCAGAGCTCAGTTGAAGAGAAATAGGAAGAAAAATAGGGCAAGCAGGGAGTAGTAAGACAAGCATGAAGGACGGTTAACTCTACATAAACAAGAGTGGGGGGAGAGAGGTAAGTCAAGAATTAGTCACACTTAATAATTTCCTTTTTATTTTAGTCACTCACAGTTTCCCCTCAAGTTGTGCTATTTTCCCCTGAGACTCCTCCAGATTCTTCTGAGTGACCTGCAGCTTCACTTCCATGCCTTCCTGTTTAGCCATCATATTCTACCAACAGAAGTATATTTTAGGAAATGAGAAATTGTTCAGATCCCCAGATCCAGAAATAGCATACTCACCAAAGACATCACTCACCCTCATCTTTGTTTCTCTTTTGTTTCTAAGTTTCATTAACTCGAGGCTTAGAATTCTCATAGTCTTCTGGTTATTATCTTCAGAAAACTAAGTAAAAGAAACAAAAAAATTCAAAAATATTTTCTACTAGGTCCTATATAAAAATCACAGAAATATTGATTGTTCTATTACTGGGACTATTATTTACCAACATTATACTCTCGTAGAGAATTTAGACTTTGACCACACCAGGATTTTACACGGCTAATGTTCTTGTCCCTCATTTTGATTAATGTGACTTTCTGGTTTATTTATTTAATTTTTTTTGAGGGTTTTATTTTTAAGTAATCTCCACCCAATGTGGGTCTCTAACTCATGACCCCGAGATCAAGAGTTACACGCTCTACTGACTGAGATATACTAGCACCTCTTTCTGATTTATTTTTGAAAGCTGCTTGGGTTGTCTACCTCTACATGCTGAAGTGTCTACTGCAAACCTCTAAACCAAGCTCCTTGGAAAAGATTCTGTAAAGTGTGCTTGTTTAACAAAATGCATCTGAATTGCCTGGTCTATTTTAAAATATGTAGAGTACAAGATTCATCCCAGGCCTACTAAATCAGAATTTCCCTTGGTGGGGCCTAGGAATCTGCTCCCTTCCCCATGCTTGATTCTTATGCACCCTTGTTCCCCTTGTAATCAAAGAGCTCAGCACATTACAGGCCCTCAATAAATGACTCTTATTAAACTGAACAGTGATTTATAGCCTCCTTCTACTTCTGACTAAGCAGATGACCATATTATATCCTTTAAGATCTATTAGTAGTAACATAATACTAATAATATTAATAAATGAAATTTATCTATTAAACATGTTTAATCCACAAATTTATTGATTTCCCACTTCATTTCCAAAAGGATTTGAGATGGAAGCCTGATGTTATGCTATTATTTATTTCAGAGAAAGATTTTTTTAAAATATTTTTATTGAGAGAGAATGAGAGAGAGCATGAGCAGGGGGAAAGGCAGAGAGAGCAGGAGAGGGGGCAGGAGAGGGATAAGCAGACTTCCTGCTGAGCAGGGAGCCCGATGTGAGGCTTGATCCCAGGACCATGAGATCATGACCTGAGCCAAAGGCAGATGCTTAACCAACTGAGGCACCCAGGCACCCCCAGAGAAAGATCTATTTTTTTCTTTTTTCTTTTCTTTCTTCTTTCTTTCTTTCTTTCTTCTTTCTTTTCTTTCTCCTTCCCTTCCTTCCTTCCTTCCTTCCTTCCTTCCTTCCTTCCTTCCTTCCTTCCTTTTTAAATATTTTAGTTATTTATTCACAAGAGACACAGAGAGAGAGAGGCAGAGACACAAGCAGAGGGAGAAGCAGGCTCCATGCAGGGAGCCCAACGTGGGACTTGATCCTGGGTCTCCAGGATCACGCCCTGGGCTGAATGTGGTGCTAAACCACTGAGCCACCCGGGCTGCCCGAAAAAGATCTTTAAAGTGACTTCTAGATGTATATTCTTTTTTTTTTTTTTTTAAGATTTTATTTATTCATGAGACACACACAGAGAGAGAGAGAGAGAGAGAGAGGCAGAGACATAGGCAGAAGGAGAAGGAGGCTCCATGCAGGGAGCCCGACGTGGGACTCGATCCCAGGTCTCCAGGATCACACCCTGGGCTGAAGGTGGCGCTAAACCGCTGAGCTACCCAGGCTGCTCTAGATGTATATTCTACAAGTTTTACTTATTTACTGGGGGTGACTTTGAAGAAGGGTGAGAAAACATCAGACATTAAAACAAATGTAACTTGTTTATCACCTCTTATGTGTCAGGTACCATAATAAAAAAGACAATAATAATTCTTCCTGGAAGCAGCTTAACATTTAATCTATACTGGGTGAAGGAAAAAGACCAACTTAGAGCCTAAAATTCCCCAACAACTATATAAGAAAAAAACCAACATGTTTCTACTTTATTCATTTATAAATATTATTTTCAGTTTCAAATACCTTTGATTTAAGTAGCTCATTAGATCTAGTTAACTCAATAAGCTGTTTTTCTAGTGCAGCATTACTTGCGGAGAGAGATGTTTTCTCCCTGACTGCAGCATTTAGTTTGGCCTCCACCTTCTCCAACTCAGCTTCCAGATCTTGGATCTGCTTGTCCTGAGCACCACGTTCTTGCACAAGAACACGAATCTGGAAAGAAACAAAGTGATGAATGATTCACCAATACAGTACTGACTTAACTATATGCTATTGATATGAAAACATTAAAATTCTAGAAAAACCTCTGTGACATGATGCTCTTAGATATTCTGATTTTACTGTTTGTACAGTCGTATTTATGTCTTAAAAATCTATAAGCATTAAAAAAATCTGTAAGCAGTTTAAGAAGAGAGGGTTTAGTTTTTAAAATGTTATTTTTTAAAATATTTTATTTTTGTTTATCTGAGAGAGAGAGAGAGCACAAGAGAGGAAGGAATAGAGGGAGAGGGAGAAGCAGGCTCCCTACTGAGCAGGGAGCCCGATGTGGGGCCTAATCCCAGGACTCTGGGATTGTGACCCAAGGTAAAGGCAGATGCTTAACCATCTGAGCCACACAGCTGCCCAGAGAGGATTTTTTTTTTTCAAGATTTTATTTCTAAGTACTCTCTACACCAATGTGTGGCTCGAAATCACAACCCTGAGATCAAGAGACCCATTCCTCTAACTGAGCCATCCAGGCATCCAAAGAGAGGATTTTAATTGCTTGTAATCTTCCAAGTGTAATTAAACTATTCACTTTTAAGGTATTTCTACCTATTCAAATTCTTTTTTTCTCTAGTTATATGAACTCAAATTATAGTTTGAGGGGCAGTCAGTTAAGCATCTGCTTTGGCTCTGGTCATGATCATGTGCTCCTTGCTCAGTGGGGAGTCTGCTTCTCCCTTCCCCCTTTGCCCCTCCCCGTTTGTGATCTCTCTCGCTCTCTCAAATAAATGAAATCTTATAAAAAAATTATTGTTTGAAATGCTAAGTGTTCTCTTCATTTCAAGAAGGCATAATGGAGTTTCTGGGTAGGATGTTATAAATACTCCAGTACGAATGATCAGTAAGCCATCACTCCTGTTGAAATTAACAGATCAAAACTAAAACCAGTATCAAATCACATATCTGGGGCGCCTGCATGGATTAGTCAGTTAAGCATCCGACTCTTGGTTTCAATCTCATGGTCATGGGTTCAAGCCTCGAGTTGGGCTCCATTGGGCATGGAGTCTACTTAAATAAATAAAAACAAAATGTGCCCCTCCCTGGCCACATATCTGACAACAGAAAATGTGAAAGCCAGGAGACAATGAAATAATTTGTTTAAAATGCAGGGGGAAAAGTGCCAATCTAAACTCTATTCTCAATGAAAATATGTTTTAAATTTGAAGGTGACATACAGATGTTTTAAGAGAAAGGAACAGCTAAGAGCATTTGCCAGCAGTAGGCGTGCAGAATAAAAAGTACTACAGTGCTTTAGGCTGAACAAAAATGATCACAGATATTTATAAAGCATGCACTTAAAATTTTTTTATTTGATAGAGAGTGAGAGAGCAAGAGTGAGCAAGCACAAGTGGGGGAGCAGCAGGCAGAGGGAGAGGGAAAAGCAGGCTCCCTGAGGAGCAGGAACCTGGGATCATGATCTAAGCCGATGGCAGATGCTTAACCAACTGAGCCATCCAGGTGCCCCAAACTATGTACTTTAATATAAGGACATGGACAGACTGATAACAAAGGGATCAGGAAAGATTTACCATGTAAATATTAAAAGAAAGCTGAGATGGCTATATTAATATCATATAAGGTAAACTTTTAAGGCAGAAAGTATTACTAGTAATAAAGAGGGAATTTTATAATGAAAAGGTTATTTCAAGAGGAAGACAATCTTAAATTTGTTGTGCTCTTAATATAACTTCAAAATATATGAAGCAAAAAATGACAGAATTAAGAAGATAAATGGAATAATCCATAAAGCTGGAAATGTGAAAATACTTTCCTTACTAGCTAATAGGAAAACTAGACAAAAAAAATATCAGTTCAGATAAGGATTTGAACAAAATTTTTAACCATATTGAACTGACATATTTAAACTATATCAAGAAGTGCAAATACTTTCTAGTACACATAAAGCATTTACCAAAATAGATTATTTGTTAGGTATAAAAGTATCAGGAAAGCATACCTGTATTAAGTTGCATGAGGTATGTTCTACTCTTCCTTATTGGCATCGTATTGATACTAATCTTGGTATTTTTTTTAGCCAAAATTGTTTAACTAAAAATGTATCAAACGTCATTTATATATAGATGGCTATGAAATAGATGCTAGGGATTGAATGAGCCTTAAGTTTCCTTACCAGAAGATTTATACTTTTATTATTGATTTACAACCAATGTTTACAGCATAGTGTTATAAAATAGAAAAAAGAGGGGCACCTGGGTGGCTCAGTGGCTGAGTGTCTGCCTACTGTTCAGGTCATGATCCTGGGGTTCTGGGATCGAGTCCCTCATTGGGTTCCCCATGGGGAGCCTGCTTCCTTCTGCCTATGTCCCTGCCTATGCCTCTCTGCGTCTCTCATGAATGGATAAATAAAAATCTTAAAAAAAAAAAAAAAAAAGTAGTGGCAGCGTGGGTGGCTCAGTGGTTTAGCACCGCCTTTAGCCCAGGGCGTGATCCTGGAGACCCAGGATTGAGTCCCATGTCAGGTTCCCTGCATGGATCCTGCTTCTCCCTCTGCCTGTGTTTCTGTCTCTCTCCTCTGTGTTTCTCATGAATAAATAAATAAAATCCTAAAAGTAGAAAAAAGAATACTGAGATTATTTATATCATGCTTTTGCAATTAAAGAAGGTAAGGCTACAAAAGAAGGGTTTGTACCCTCGAATGCCTACATGGCCAAGCAGATAATATAAAGGACAGAGAGCCAGGTGAGGACTGAAGAGCAGATACGGAGTTTAAAGGAGGCAGTTCTGCATGGCCCTAGCAGATTGTTGCCCTGGAAGGGAATATGGAGAGTGTTGTCAGAACTTCTGACTTTGTTTTGCATGAAATTCTACTTTTAATTTTTTTTTTTTTTTTTTACTTTTTATTTATTTATGATAGTCACAGAGATAGAGAGAGGCAAGGCAGAGACACAGGCAGAGGGAGAAGCAGGCTCCATGCACCGGGAGCCCGATGTGGGATTCGATCCCGGGTCTCCAGGATCGCGCCCTAGGCCAAAGGCAGGCGCTAAACCGCTGCGCCACCCAGGGTTCCCGAAATTCTACTTTTAAATGTTGATAATTATTATTATTTAAAGACTTTATTTATTCATGAGAGACACAGAGAGGCAGAGAGAGAAGCCAGATCCTTGCAGGGAGCCCGATGTGCGACTCGATCCCAGGACACCAGGATGGTGCCCTGGGCCGAAGGGAGATGCTTAATCACTAAGCCACCCACAATTCACTAAATGTTGATAATTAATTCAATTTAAACAAACAAACAAACAAACTATAAATCCTGTGGGGTTTAATAAAATAGAGCTGTATTTATCTAAAATCTCTATTCTAAAAGATTAAGAAATTAACACAAATTACCAGTTCTAATTGTGGCACTGCCACTCACTTACCATCTATCTCTCTGAGACTCAGCTATCACATCTCTAAGTATTAACCCCTATATTGTAGGCATGTGTCCTTAACAAAATGATGGCCAATATAATTAAATACTAAAAGAATCAGAGCAACCAGGGCAGAGATTTGAAAGGTTAGCTTGATACATTCTTGGTCCTAAACCAACATTTTACTGTAATCAATGGAAGGTTTTATTTTTTTTTATTTTTTTTAATAAATTAATTTTTATTGGTGTTCAATTTACCAACATACAGAATAACACCCAGTGCTCATCCCATCAAGTGTCCCCCTCAGTGCCCGTCACCCATTCACCCCCACCCCCCGCCCTCCTCCCCTTCCACCACCCCTAGTTCATTTCCCAGAGTTAGGAGTCTTTATGTTCTGTCTCCCTTTCTGATATTTCCCACACATTTCTTCTCCCTTCCCTTATATTCCCTTTCACTATTATTCATATTCCCCAAATGAATGAGAACATACACTGTTTGTCCTTCTCCGATTGACTTACCTCACTCAGCATAATACCCTCCAGTTCCATCCACGTTGAAGCAAATGGTGGGTATTTGTCGTTTCTAATGGCTGAGTAATATTTCAATGGAAGGTTTTAATATGTCAAAAGCATATGTACACTAAACAGAGTTGGTCAACATTGGAAACAGAAAAAAGACTGCCAGGAAAGCAAAGTCGGCAGTGACTATCTTACTCATGCTTAGGAAGTAAGTGGATTCTTCTTTTTTTAAATTAAATTAATTTTATTTATTTTGAGAATGGGGCAGGGGCAGAAGGAGAGGGAGAGAATCTCAAACAGATTCCACATTGAGTGTGAAGCCCAACACCGAGTTTGATCCCATGACTCTGATATGAGCCAAGCCAAAACCAAGAGTTGGATGCTCAACTAACTGAGTCGCCCAGGCGCCCCAGTAAGTGGGTTCTTTAGTCACCTTTGCTCAGTAGAGACTTCTGCCATGGTAGAATTGTATGGTATCACTCACTGCAGTGCCTACAAGTGAGTTAAGTTTACTTATTTATTTAACGATCTTTACAAGATGGGTCTTTACAAGATGGTCAGTGAAATCCTGATAGGGAGACTTGATGAACACCATCTCTTTCCAGAGGTCAGGGGTGAGATAGCTCTAGGTCTTGGAGATAGCATCAAAAATAGCATTGGCAAAGTTCCCCAGAGTGGCAGTGTAGCCCCTGGAGGAGGTGTAGCAGTCATCAATACCAGCCATCATCAGTAGTTGCTTCTTGGGCACAGGGGCTGAGACAATGCCAGTGCCTCTGAGAGCAGGGATGAGATGCATCAGCACAGAGCCACAGAAGCCAATAACCTTGCATGGCATATTGTGGGGCTTTGCCAATCTTGTTCTTCCAGTAGCCTTGCTGTGGGGGGATGATGGAAAGCTTCAGGATGGTGGCCCTATGGATGACAATGGCTACTTCTTAGGGGCACTTGACACCCAGAGCAACATGTCCATTGTAATCTCCCATGGCAACAAATGTCTTGAATCTGGTCTGCTGGCTGGTACAGGTGTGCTTTTGCACAGGCATGATTTTCAAATCATGCCCCCAGAAAGAAGTCAATGATCTCAGATTCCGTGATGGGCAGGGAAAAGAGACAGACCTCCTTCAGGGACTTGATCTTCTTGTCCTTGACCAGGCAGCCCAGCTTCGTGATGGGGGTCCACTTCTTGTCCTGTGAATGCCTCCAAAAGCTCTGCGACCTCGGCCCTGGCCCCAGATGCTGCTGCCAAAGCCTCAGAGAAAGCTGCCCCTGCCTCCCATTCCCAGGCTCCCAAGCCCTGATGCAACACGAGCACCATTCACCATTTCGTGTTCTCTCAGAGAAGCAGCCCTAGTGCACATTTAAAATGTGACTAGTGCAGTTGAAAAATTGAGTTCTTAGTTTTACTGGATTTAAATAGTCTCAAGTAGTGAGTGGCTAATATTGGACAGGACAGTTCTAGGTTCACCCTCCAGCTCCATTTTATCCTTGAATAGGGCATACATATATAGTACAGAAGGTGTGTCAGGTCAGCACAACTGTCATAATTAAACTAACCTGTTGGGATTTCATGTCCATTAAGAAATTCTCTAGCTAATCACTATCTGCAGGTTAGCATGCAATGAGTAAATGTAAATATTTGGCTTATGCATAACTGTGATAAACCAATGCATTAATTTTCAGTTACCAATTTTTCATGAAGAGGGTTATCCTGAATCTGCCCCTCAGTTTGCTAAAACTTGACTTTGCCAGCATACCACACTGACAACCATGTTCTGCAACATGGTATCTAACAAAGTTAAGGAACAGTTACCTGGCCCCCACTGGTCCCCATGGTCTGCTTTACCATCTGCAACACAGTTGCAACAGAACTTGCCAAACTGCAACAGAATCTCTGTCTCTTACCTTTAAGTAACTCTTTCCATTTTATAGCACATTTATTTTTCAACTAATTTGAAAGATTGCTTACCTCTTTTTCTAGTATCTTCAAATCTTTATCATTCTTTTGAGATTCCTTCTATTTAAGAAGTCAAAAAACAGAGATAAATATGTGTCACAAATATCACAGTCAAATTCGATTTTTAGTTATAAAAATATTAAACAGTTTAATTTCTTTCTTTTTGTTCTTTCTTTCAGTAAACTCTATCCCCCAATGTGGAGCTTGAACTCAGAATCCCAAGATCAAGAGTCTTATGTTCTACTGACTGGGTCAGCCAGGCACCCCTTTCTTTTCTTTCCTTGAAGATCTAATTGGCTTTATTAAGTGATTCATGAATCAGGCAGCATACCATCTAGCAAGTAGAGGGAAGTTCCTCACCAAACAATTTCTATTTTAAACATTTTATTGAGCCTATTAAACATTTTGTAGGAGACTTGTCTGGTAAAAGAAGGAAAAGGTTCTTTAAATCTTAAAATATTTCAGGCTTAAGTTTTGACCGCAATAAATTATTAGGCTTTTCCTAGTAAGTTCAGGGAAAATAACAAGCGGAGCTTTAGAAATAAAGCTACTGAGTGCCTTCTTTCTAATTTTATACAGAAATACATTTTGAATATTTAATTATGCTATCCCAGAAAGAAAAGAATCTTATGAAGAGAAATAAACTTTGATACCCCCAAAAAGGAAAAAAAAAAAAAAAAACCCAAAAAACTACAGATGAAAAGACATAAACATTAAAATGGTGTAAGCTGATTCTAATCTACTTATTGCTTTTATTCTTTTTTTTTTTTTTTTAGGATTTTATTTATTTATTTATTCATAGAGACACAGAGAGAGAATGAGACGCAGAGACACAGGCAGAGGGAGAAGCAGGCTCCATGCAGAGAGCCTGACGTGGGACTCGATCCCGGGTCTCCAGGATCACACCCTGGGCTGCAGGCGGCGCTAAACCGCTGCACCACCAGGGCTGCCCTATTGCTTTTATTCTTAAAAAGACCTATAATTTTTGCTCTATGTATTTTTATATCCAATATCCAACAGCCTTCCTGACATAATGGCCTTAACCAGAATATCTATCTTTCCACCTAAAATGGAAGAAAATGTATAAACATATTGAATACAACCTGTTTTATGTGCTTCTAAGGGGAAGCTACATCAGTCTCATATTTATTAATTTCCCACATGCTGGCATTTTCTATCAAGGAAAGCCTATTATTTAGGGGTTTTATACAAACATGTATGTAATTTAGCTTTCTAAGAGTTCTGTAATTAATTCAAAAATTCAGAACTGCTTCTTCAAGAAATTCAAGTTAAGAAATTTAAATCAACTACAAAATTATTTTAATTTTGAGTATAGTTAATATACAGTGTAATATTAGTTTCAGGTATACAATATAGTAACTTGACACTTCCATACAGACGTGGTGCTCATCAAGACAAGTGCTCTCCTTAATCTCTATCACCTATTTCACCCATCCCCCCACCGACCTCCTCTCTGGTAACCATCAGTTTGTTCTCTAGAGTTAAGAGACTATTTCTTGGTTTGTTTCTTTTTTCCCTCTATTCATTTTTATTTTTTAAATTCCACTTATGAGTGAAATCACTCTCTAGCTCTGTTCATGTTATGGCAAACAGCAAGATTTCATTTCTTTTTATGGCTGAATAATATTCCATTGTATATATATTTAAAACAATGTGTAAGAAAAGCCTGTCTATATCAGTGCTGCCCAATAAAAATACATCACAAACCATATATGTATTTTCAAATTTTCTAGTAGTCATATATATTTAAGTTTCTTTAAGTTATCTCTATACCTGATGTGGGGCTCAAATGCATGACCCCAAGACTAAGAGTCACATGTTCTTCTGAGCCAGCCAGGTACTCCTCTAGTAGTCATTTTAAAAAGTAAAAATTTTAGTAATATATTTAATTATATAATAATAAACACATTTATTATGATAAATAATATAATCATGCAAAATTATATTGGTATATACTAATATATCACAAATATATAAATAATATACAAATGTATATTTAATGATATAATAAATATATATTTAATATTTTTACTTTACTATAAAAGTAAAAAGTATTATTTTAATATGTCATTAGTGTAAAATTATTATGAGATATTTTATATGTTTTGTACTGTCTTCAAACTTTGCTCTATATTTTATTTACTCTTGCAGCACATCTTAATTCAGATGCTAAAGTTTCATCAGAAATAGCTATCTATGGGGTGCCTGGGGCGCCTGGGTTTCATCAGAAATAACTATCTATGGGGTGCCTGGGTGGTTTAACCAGTCAGCTGGTTAAACAACTGACTCATGATCTCAGCTTGAGTCATGATCTCAGGTTTGTGAGTTCATGCCCCACATTGGGCTCCATGCTGCTACTCTAGGTGTGGAGACCACTTAAAAAAAAAAAAGCTAAAAGAGAAATAGCTATCTATATTTAGATTTCATGAAACATGGATGAAAAAGTAGATTCACATACACAAGATGTTTCAAAAAACATTTACATTTTCCAACCAAAGAGTCAAGTATCAGTTTTTAAAAATATATTAATTAAAATTAAATAATACTAAAAACTTAGCTCTCATTTTCAAGCGGCCAATAGCCACATGTGGCTGGTCACTTCCATAATGTATAATGAAACCCTATATTATAAAACAAGAGACTTAGATAATTGGTAAACAAATGAATGAGTCTAAGCTTAATCTACAGCCTTGGTTTCCCAACTCTGCATCTTTTCCACATTAACAAATCACTTCTTGCAACTTAAGAAACTACAACTTAAAAAAAAGAAGAAAGAAAGAAAGAAAGAAAGAAAGAAAGAAAGAAAGAAAGAAAGAAAGAAAGAAAGAAAGAAAAAGAAACTACAACTTGTTTTAAAAACTAATGGAAACAATAATAACATGTAGCATAAATTATAACCTGAATAATTTAATCTCTCACCACTCCTTGGTAGTTTCTGAGCAGCACATCTCTTTTAGGCATTAGAATGCTTTTTTTTCCCCCTTTTTCTTCACCAATACTTACCCCTCTGCACAAACACCACCAAACAATGCAAATGACAGTAACTACCAAATCAAAGCATTGCATACTTTTTAAAGGCTTATTAGGTGTGAGACAATTTATCTAGATAGAAATGACTGAGAAGTGGAGACTATTTTGTAATTCTGAATTATAGGCATGGTTTATTTAGTAATGACGCAGGCAGAAATATAAATCTTGGTAGAGTCCTAATGATAATATTTTTTATTAATTTATAGATTTACAACCTTAATTTATACACTTAATCCATTATAGTCAAATAAAATACCTTTCAGAAATGTTTTCATGATTTAGGTGATAAACCAGACAGAATATCAGAATTTCTCACCTTTAATCCCAAAGTCTTAACTTTCCTTGCTGAAGCAGGCAAGGCAGTATCTCTGTCAACATTAAGATTTTGTTGAGACTCTACAATAAAATAGATTGTACAGATCTTGGTTGGTGCTTACACGCTTGAAACATAGACAAAACCCAATTTCCAAATTTCTTATTGTTATTATTAGTGAAGAAGTATAAAGTTCCATTCTTGACTGTACATGTCCAAACAATTAGTCGCACAATAGTATTAACAGAACCAACCCTTTTCTGATTTTCCTACTATTCCCTGACAGGTTAAGGTGATTACCAAAAGAGAAATGATGTATCTGTGTCAGTATCTTACTTAATTTTATTGGTTATGCAATAGTGGGATGATCAAAGCATTATTATGTAGTTGACTCTTTTGTAAATTCATCAAGTAAGAAAATTTAAATATAACTATAGCTTCACATTTTTGGAAATACTATAGTAACTTCTAATTTAAGTACTGTTATTCATAACTTTAAAATTTATGAGATCAAATAACCATTATTTTATTTTGTATTCCATTACCTTTTTGTTTTTTAAATCTTTGTGATTTCTGAAATGATACTGGTCCTTTTAATACTTCTGAAGTTTTAACATCATAAGCACCTGGAGACGGTGCACAACCTAAAGGAAATATAGCACATTAATGTCTCATCTAATGTTATTATGATCTTAAATTAAAAACATGTCATAGTAAATTAATACCCACGTAAAATGCCATTAGCAAATCATTTATTTTTTCAAATATAAAAATAGCATCCATTTGATATTACAAAACAGGCCTCTCAGCAAAAAAAATCATTATCTTCCCAAATGTTCTTTATTTCAATGAATCAAAGGAACACAGGCAACTGAACAAAACAGCAAAGACAGTCTTGAGATAAACATCATGTAAGATCAAGCCACATGGCTTTGTTATTAAGGACTGAATATAAGAAAAAAAATATTTTGGGGACACCTAGGTGGCTCAGGGGTTGAGCGTCTACCTTTGGCTCAGGGCGTGATCCTGGAGACCCAGGATCGAGTCCCACATTGGGCTTCCTGCATGCAGCCTGCTTCTCTCTCTGCCTATGTCTCTGCCTCTCTCTTTCTGTCTCTCATGAATAAATCTTTTTTAAAAAAGAAATATTTCAAATCAACTCTGCTCAAAGAGAGTCACTGAGGTAACTACCATCAGCTAGAAATGAAGCAACTAAAAAGTCTAGCTCTCAAGGTTTAGTCTGGAATAAAAATTTATAGTGATAATCCATCTCTGGCTAATATTGATGCATCAGAAAATTTATAAAAGCAATGTTACAAAAAGTACAAATTATACTAGACAATAGTTTTATGATCCAGAAATTTATACAGTATAACATCATTTAACTGGAGTCTCAAAGTGAAGGCATTTCAGAGTATTTATGCATAGCTTTATTTTTAATTGTTTAAAAAAGATTGTATTTATTTATTCATGAGAGACAGAGAGACACGCTGAGGAAGAAGAGAAGCAGGCTCCCTGGGGAGCCGGATGCAGGATTCCAACCTGGTATTCCAGGATCAGGCTCTGAGCTGAAGGCAGATGCTCAACTGCTGAGCCACCCAAGCATCCCTGTTTATGCATAGTTGACTTGAGATCTGGCTCTCAGGACTTGTATTGCCTAGCTGGCTAAGTCGGTAGAGCAGGAGACTCTTGATCTCAGGGTATGAGTTCAAGCCCCATATTGGGCATAGAGCCTACTTAAACAAAACAGGTAAAATATCATTAGCATAAAGCTTTAAGGATTGAGAATCAATAGATTCATACTATTCTCTGAAAAGTTACTTACTTCAGCATAGTGTTTCATGCAAATAAACAGGAACTGCAAGGAGTGACCATTTCAAGGCAACTCCAGCTGTCTCTTAAGTGTTTTCTCAAATGGAATGATAGGTAAGAGCTTGTTGGTACATCTTGACTAGCATCAAGGAAAAGTGAAGCACAACAGAAAATATCAGTGTGATTCAAATGTAGATACACAATTTATTTCTCACCCTGGGATACAATTAAAAAGTATTAAAGTCACTCCTTTCATCAATTCTAAAAGGCTATAAAAACATCAAAGACGGAGTGAATTTTCCATTCCTCTCCCTGGATAATGGTAACAAAAATAATTACACAAAAATTCCAATCCTGGGAGCTTTTTGATCTAAATGTGGGTCAATAAGGGGTTGGGGTAGTGGATTTCCAATCAGAAGAGAGTTTCAACGCGAAGTATAGAATTCAGTGGGGCATTTAACATAAAGGCAGACTTAACAGAAAACATTAATCTTGGCTATCTCAGATTTCTCACATTGGGGTGAAATAGGAAGCTGACAAGGGGTTTCCCTAAAATCAGTTTAAGGGTGGCACATCTTAGAGCATAGGTTTTTTTTTTAAAATTTAAATTCAAATTGCCAACATATAGGATAACACCCAGTTTAGAGCACATACTTTTACTCACTGGGATAGGAGCTGGGGGAGGTAGAGGGGGACATGTTTTAAAGCAAACAAGAGACTTCCACCATACTGTTAGCTATGCCTTTTTGGGGAAGAGGGGATGAGGGCATGCAGAACCTATGGATATTCTTTGCTCTCTGCTTTTAATTATTATTTAAAGGTAAACTCTAGGCCTAACATGGGGGTTGACCTCACAATCCTGAGATCAAGAGTCACATGTTCTACCAACCAAGCCAGACAGGCACTTAGCTCTCTGCTTTTAGGAATGCTTCTATGGAAAAGCATGAGAAGCACCAGTTGAGACTTGTCAGAGTGGCCAGAAAATAAAATGATGTTGAATTCTTATGTTCTGGTTCATGACTAGGTTTACGCTCTGAAAAGGAAATATGGGCAAGCAAAAGATGGGATGGTGGACAGTGACTGAGCAGCATCATGAGTTGAGAACAATTAAAACCATACTTAACAAAAACTTTCCTAAACAATCAAATTTGATTGTTAGATTTAGGATTTAGATTCAAGAACTAGGTAGAAATCCAGCCTGTATTATCTATTAACTCTTTGTGAGAGTGTAGTTAGTACATGTTATTTTCATGCTCCAGATCTTTTCCTTACTAACACTTAAATGTACTATATCACACATACATATGACTTGTTAGAAATCTGGGGAGACGGAACATCAGAAAAATGGAATGAGATGTCCTGGGAGTTATCACAAGTTTTCTGCAACTTCTTTCTTGATCAACAATGACTGGTAGCTAACAGGTAGTTAATAATTTTAAACAAACAAAACAGCCTATGCATTTCATTAAACGCTTCAAACTTTCAGATCTTTTTAAAATCGTTTTTAAGGATTTTATTTGAGAGAGAGACTGAGCGAGAGTACAAGCAGAATGGAGGTGCAGAGGGAGAAGCAGACTCCTTACTTAGCAGGTAGCCTAATGCGGGGTTTGATCCCGGGACACCGAGGTCATGACCTGACTGAAGGCAGATGCTTAGTTGACTGAGCTACCTATCAGATTTCTTTACTTCCTATTTCTTCTACCCAGAATGGACAGTCCATCTTCCATTTTGCCTGACTAATTCTTACTCAGCCTTTTCCAGTTTTCTGAGTCCTCAAATTAGGTTGGAAACCTCTCTTTGTAGTAGCTTGTGAGTAGTGTTCTTATCAGAGAACCTGTCAGTTTTGTAATTATCGATATTCCATGTTAGACAAAACTGCTTGTGGTTAGGTCTCTCTAGATCATATTCGTAACCCCAGTATTTAGCTCAGGGTTGAGTTTGACAGTGCGGTGAAGAAAACATAGAAAGTCACTGGGAATGTGGGAATGGGGATAGAGTTTTATAATTCCCCAATCAGGGTTCAAATCCAGCTTTAAATGCTAACCAATAGACATTACTATGTGCCAAGTACTTTTTAGTCAGGAGAAGATGGTGAATAAGAACATTATACTCTCTCCTTTTCTAATCTAGCTTTAAGACCCCTGGCAATTTATTTTTATTTAAGGCTAATTTTCCTTATGAAACAGAAATAAAAAAAAAAGTATCCACCTCATAGCTGTTGGGATTACTGGAGTAATAGGAGAAATCACTACAGTGTCACTCGAGCATCAAATAAAATAATAATTACTACTTCTGAAACTGTGAGTTGGTAAAGTCAGTTTAATCTACTATAAAGAAAACAGAATTCTCCTTAAAAGACATGCTGCTGAGAGAATTTAGAGAAGATTCTTTGAATATCCAGGAAACAGTATATTCCTGATCTTTCAATTAAGAAAATAAGCTTGTAAAAAAAAAGAAAAAGAAGCTTGTGCTGACCCATTTGCTCACTTGGCCTTCCTTTGTGAGCAGTGATTCTTATTTCCATTTGCATGTTGGCTGACAAGTTAAAGATGCCAGCCAACAAGTGCCTTTTATAAAGAGTATATTAAAATGAATAAATCATGGGCTTTGATGTTCAGCCCTACCAATTACTGGCTGCTCAGAAGTCACAAAACCCCTCTGTTTCCTCATATGTAAAACGAGGACAATATCAATCCTTTCTCACTTGGAAAGAGTAAACCAGGTAGAACAGAGAAGACCTTAGCACAGTCCCTGCATACAGTTTGCATCCACTGAATGATGAGTGTGCCTCACTAACCATATCTGCATCTTCCTGGTTCGTGTGCTTCTGCATCACAGCGAGGAAGTTCACAGGATGGGTTCACGAAGGCCTGATTTTATGTCCCAGTTCTGCTAACTTGGTTGTGTAACACTAAGCAAATCTATGTCTCAATCTTTTTATCAATAAAATAATAATAGGATTACCTCTCAGGGATGTTGGGTAATTTAAAAAGAATAATCAATGTAAATACCTAATACGGTGATTGGGGTTCTACGTGTCATTACTTCATTATGTTTTCAGTAAGTATGCTACTACCATAATTGTACCCATAAATTGCCTTTACCAATTATCCTTCTTTTATTCCTGAATGGAATATCCAAAAGAAATTCACAAGTTCATACGAAAAACTTGGTCAATTTTTTTTTTTTTTAATCAGTGGGGCCTTCCGGACTTGACCATCAAATAGCTACCAATAGTTTCCTTATCCCCATTTCCTTCTCTCTGCTTTAGTTTCCCCACAGCACTTGTTCGTTGGCTGTGTTCTCCAGCTGAATGTAGTAAACCCGATGGGGCAAAGACTTCGCGTCATTCACTGCTCTACCCTTATCTGAATGGTGCTAGGGAAGTAAATGCTTAGTATAGATTCTAGGAAAATAATCAATTGAATGAGACCCATCGCAGCCCTAAAACCGCCGATTAGCCTCCGAGGAAGGGACTCGTGAGGGGCAAGGTGCGTGACAACATATCCCGACCCCCAACTCCTTTCCCCGTACGCACCGGAAGGGTCATTGAATCGTTTCAGGGGCGCCTTAGGAAAAGACATGTTGATGACCAGCTCCACAAACCGAAGGTCACTAGCTCTCCTCCGCAACTTCTGGCTGCTTGTTTCGGCCTACTCGCTCCAAATTCAAACCTCCCGGCTTATCCACTGCCCACCTCTAACGTCAGCAGATTTGAAAACCAAAGTTCTGGGCGCACCAATCCAGGACCGGAACGACTAAAGAGCCGGCGCACCTGGCCTCGTCGCATCCAATCAGGGCTTCTGTGAGTTTAGGTCACCAGCCAATAGGAGACTATTATTGCCCGACCCGTGTCCAATCGTTCCTGGCGTTACTCAATTGTAACTTACACGCTCGCCTCCTTTGCGCAAGCGCGTTTCACGTCTGAGAAGCTGGCAAGCCCGCTTCTGGCGTCATAAAGGCGGCAGTGCAGTGAGTTCTAGTTTCACTAGTTCCAGCTTTCTCCCACCGTCCCTTGGGTGTAAGCTTCCCCGGATTTCAGTTCTTTCAAACTGGGCACTGCCAGGGTCGTAAACGGCCATTGAAAAGGAGAAAGGAGCTCGCTGAGGCCTCGGCGGACGTCCCTGCGCATGTGCAGTGACCTGAGCGGAGAGTCAGGGCGTGGCCTGAGCGCGGGGAGCTCGCGCGTGCGCTCGTCTCGCTCCGTGCGGCTGCGGCTGGGAGGCTCCCGGAGTATGTCGGCCCCGTTTGAGGAGCGCAGTGGGGTGGTTCCGTGCGGGACGCCGTGGGGCCAGTGGTACCAGACCTTGGAGGAGGTGTTTATTGAAGTGCAGGTGCCGCCTGGCACTCGCGCCCAGGACATCCAGTGCGGCCTGCAGAGCCGGCATGTGGCGCTGGCCGTGGGTGGTCGCGAGATCCTCAAGGTAGCGGCAGGTCGGGGCTTGCGCTCGCTCACTTTCCTCCCGGCCTCTGAGTCCCCGAGTCCGAAGGTTCGTGGTTTCCACGGAAGGACTGTTGGAAGGCCGAATGAATGGCTCTTGGAGCCGAAAGAGCGATAGATAGCATTGGCCTGGTTTGGGTCTGGTCCGTGTCCCCGCTCAAGGCTAGCCCCGAGTTGACGGAAAGATTTGAGGAGCCCGGGTTCCTGGCTTTATCTCTGAACCGAAGAAGTTGCTGCTTTTGTTCTCCCGCGGGTCTTCACCTAGATGTTTAGAGGGACAAATACTCGTTGTACATGTATGTTCTCCGAGGCGCTGATTTTAAGTGCTGAGAGGCCAGAGATGAACAAGACGGGAGTTCCGTGCGCTCAGGTGATGCTCTTGCAGGGAGGCACCCTAAAGCGAAGTTAGTAAATGTCTAAGCAGTTAGAGGACAGCAGAGGATGCAGTACAGGGTAAGGATGTCGGGAGGAGGATTCAGAGGTGACGTCAGGTGATTTATTGTTTTTCAACAAAATGAGAAAAATTCTGCCTGTTTGTGGAGTGGTTAAGCAGGTAGTCGAGAGGCGTTTTGTTCCCATGATGCCCGTCGGATCCGGGAGCCGCTTTCTCCTTGATAGACTTTATAGGTAAATTCAGTTACGTGCGAGTCAGATTTCTTTTCCAGACCCGATGCTCAAGGTGTTCGATGACAGTGTAATGAAGTGGTGACGGGAGATTGCTTGCGCGGGATACCTGGCTATGCCCTTTTTCTGATTTCGTAACCGTGGGCAGGAGGTTATGCGGCGTCTCTACGCCTTGGTCCGCACTTGGTCCGCTCAGGGCGCGGTAATTATAGTGCCTTCCTGATAGGACTGTTTTGAACGTCACAGGGTATCCGTGGGAGGTAAGAGCTGGGACCTGTGTCTGGTATGTAACGAGTGTACACTGCTTGTTAGCTGCTATTACTTTATGGGGAAATGCTTTACAGTGCCTCAGAGAAAAGAGAGATTCACGTGAAAGACCTTGATTTATGTCAGCTTGGATCTTACGGACCTTTCTGGATAGTTGTGTGATTCGTGGTTTCCTGAGCAGTGGTTTAAGATTACAATTCAAATTTCCTTTAGTTGATTCCAGTAACTTTGGGAATTTAGCAGTACCTTTAGGATTTTAGGTATATGTTTATTAGACCAGTAGGATTTTTTTTTTCTCACGAGTACTGACATATTGAAAAAATATGTTTTCTTTATTTTTATGTGATCTTTTAATTTCATTTTCTGATACTTAAATTAGGCAAGTAGCAACAAATCAAAACGGATTTGAGCAGATGAATTCTCTTTTGAACTTACGTTTGCCAATTTCTCTCTTAAAACAGCAGTTTCTGAAAAATCAGTCGCAGCTAATCTGGTATCAGAACAGCAGTATGTGCTTAAAAATTTTTTTTGATTCTACGCTGCCCAACAAAGGAGAACCGGTTTTTTAAAGTTTAAGAGAAATCGTTGCTTAATTTCAGCAGGAAAGTTCTTTTTGTAGTTCATTTCAATCGGTAAAGTTAATCGTTGCTTAATTTCAGCAGGAAAGTTCTTTTTGCAGTTCATTTCAGTCGGTAAAGTTAATCGTTGCTTAATTTCAGCAGGAAAGTTCTTTTTGCAGTTCATTTCAATCGGTAAAGTTAATCGTTGCTTAATTTCAGCAGGAAAGTTCTTTTTGCAGTTCATTTCAATCGGTAAAGTTAAAGTTCAGATACTAATTTCACATTTGGTTCAGTGATCAGTAATATTTATTTATCTTCTAAAAATTAAGGAGCCCTGATCTTTTAGAGAGCCCTGTGTTCTTTGTCATAGTAAATATTTCAAGCAGTGTAAACTAGATTCCATTTCACTTGCTAGGAGGAAAGATAGGGTTCAGCACCTATATATTGAAATGGTATAAAATTTTATCTCCCTAATATAACCAAACTAGACAATTACATGTGGATTAGATAGGAAATCAGCAAAGTCTTTAAGTCATGAAAGCCTTGTAAGAATTAACGAAATATTTATGTTTTTAGTACTGCATATGTTTATTTTTCAGGGCAAGCTCTTTGATTCTACAATAGCTGATGAGGGAACATGGACTTTGGGTAAGGGTAACTTATACTTCTTGGAACCCCTTTTTTTAAGAATAAATTTTTGTCTTGGAACTTAGTATATTTCCCTCTGTTGTATTAGGTCTTTTGTCTTTGCAAGAGAATGGTGATAGAAACGTATTGAACATAATTGTATGTCAAGATTACCTAATGATTTTTGAAAATAAAAAATTTAATGATGATCTCTAATTTGTGATTTTTATTTGTTTAGAGGACAGAAAAATGGTCCGTATTGTTCTTACAAAGACAAAGAGAGATGCAGCAAATTGCTGGACTTCTCTTCTAGAATCTGAATATGCAGCTGATCCTTGGGTGCAAGACCAAATGCAGAGGAAACTTACATTAGAGAGATTCCAGAAAGAAGTAAGTGAGATGAATGTATGAATATGTATTGATAATCATCTTAAAACCATAGAATAATTATTACTTGAAATTGAAACTCAAGGTTGTTACAAATACATAAAAAGTTCTTTTGAGGAATTTTTTAAGTTAACTCATTAGGAAGATAGTCTTTCTTTGGACTATTCTTTTTCAAATATTCTATAGAGGAACTTATTTGTACTGTCATGATTTCTAAGTTTAAATTTATTTAATGTACACCAGTAATGCATAAATGAACTAAAAAATTCACTCAAAATAGATTTACATAATATAAAGTGAAAAATTCCTTTCATCAACATCTCTCTAATTCATGCTACTGTCTCATTCTTGTATCATTGAGGTGTTCGTTTGCTGCCTCGTTTTTAACATAAATGCAGGATCACACTGTGTGTGTTGTTCATGTTGTTTATTTCATTTATTAATATGTCTTGGGTCTCTTTCCCTACCAGTACATACTCATTCCAAAAACACTCATAACTACTTCAGGGTGTTTTCTAGTTTGAAAGTATCATCGTTATTTATTTAGCTATTCCCTTTCAATAAGATTTGGATTTTTCACTTTGTGTCTATTTCAAACAAAATTTATGCTTTCATCTCTATAAAACTATTCCAATGATCTGTTAGTTTATGTAGGAGAAGAATTACTAGATCAAAGCACTATTAAAGTTTTGATGGATAATTTCTTTCTATATGATGATTTCCAAATGTGTATCTCTAGTCTAGACTTTTCTCCCAAATATTGGAGTCATATTTCCAATTCAGCATCTGCACATGACAGTCTGACAGATGTATTAGACTCAATGTATTCAACATGAACTCTGTAAATTCCTCCCACACGTGTTCTACCTGTAGTCTTTCATCTTGGTTGATGGAAACTACTTGATCAGACCAAAAAACAAAAATAGGGAATCATCCTTCATTCCTATATCTCTCTCACATACCCTGTCCAATTTGTTAGGAAATCTTACTGACACTACCTTCCAAATAAATTCAGAATTTGTCCACTTCTCACCACGAACTCTACTACCACTTTGATCTGTACCATCCATAGTGTCTTGCCTAGATTACTCTAATAACCTTCTGATTGTTCTCCTCTACCCTTGCTAAGCTACAGTATTCTCAAAATAGCATAGTAGTCCTTTGAAAATGCAGGTCAGAATGCATCGCTTCTCTTATCAGAGCTCTTTCATTCTATCTGATCTGGTCCTTCTTAATCTCTCTGACTTCTATGAATCTCCCTCCAGGCATTCTGCTCTAGCCATATTGACCTTTTTGTTATTTTTGAACATTGCTTTTCTGTCCTTTTGACTACAATGTTCACACTGCTAGCTTCTTCAATGTTTTCAAGTCATTGCTCAATAAAGCATACTTTGGTCTTTGATCATCCTATTTAAATACTATAATCTCATTTCCCTTACCCTGCCCTATTTTTCTTCCTTCCTTCTCTCCCTTTCCTTCCCTTCCTCTGTCTCCTTCCCTCCCTCCCTCCCTCCCACCCTCTTCCTTCTTTCCTTTCCTTTCCTTTCCTTTTTTTTCTTTCTTTTTCTTTCTTTTCTTTCTTTCCACTTGCACCAACTTTTAACACTCTAGATCAGGGGCTGGCAAACTATGGCCCCTGGGTGAAATCTGGCTCACTGCCTGTTTTTGGAGTAAAGTTATATCGGAACACAACTATGCGTGTTCATTTGTGTATTGTCTTTCTTTTTTTTTTAATTTTAATTTATTTATGATAGTCACAGAGAGAGAGAGAGGGGGGCAGAGACACAGGCAAAGGGAGAAGCAGGCTCCATGCACCGGGAGCCCGACGTGGGATTCGATCCCGGATCTCCAGGATTGCGCCCTGGGCCAAAGGCAGGCGCTAAACCTCTGCGCCAGTGTATTGTCTTTCTTATAGCAGCACCAGACTAAAGTAGTTATGGCAGAGACTCTGGCCTTCAAAGACTAAAATTCTAACTACTTGGCTTTTTACAGAAAACTTTGCCAACCCCTGCATTAGATAACTTAGTTTATTATTTGTGTCCTCCTGTAAGAATGTCAGCTCTACCAGTGGTAGGGATCTTTGTTTTGTTCGCTCTTGAATTCCACAGGTCTCTAGTGGTGTCTTCTAAACAGCAGGAAATTCTATAAATGTTTGTTGTATAAATGAAATGCCTTCCAAAAGATGAAAACATGTTATAGCACTTCATAGGATTGTTATGAAGATTGAATATGTTGATAAATGCATAGATCTCAGAATCCTGGCAGGCATGTAGTAAACTCTCAAATGGTGCTAGTTTATTAAAAATCTGTTTTCACATGCATACTAAAGTATATGTTTGCCCATATACTTGTCAACTTGTAATATACATATTGATTTTCTAAATGCTTGTAGATCTGAAAATTGAACTATATCTCCTAGTTTTAAGTTCTATTTTGGTGATTACATCCTTTGACATGTTTATTGGCCATCTGGATTTCCCGTTTTGTTAATGGCTAGTTCATATCTTTACCATTTCCCTTTTGAGTTACTTAGATTTTTCCTTATAAGATTTATTTTATCATAATTTTTTTCATATCTTTTAGAATCCTGGCTTTGACTTCAGTGGAGCAGAAATCTCAGGAAACTATACTAAAGGTGGACCAGATTTCTCAAATCTTGAGAAATAACCACTACGGTTTTGCTGCATTCTGTGGATCCTAGCAGATGTTGTGAACTTAATCAAAGGAACAGTTATGGGGTAGAAGGAGAATGTGGATACCTGCAGTTAACAAATTGCAAAATACATTAACTATGGTTCTTAAAAATTGCATTCAAATATCATTTTACATAGGAAACATCTTAAATACTGTGGAAACTATTCTACTGATATATAGTAACTTTTTTTTGGACTTGTTTTTTTGCTCAGCATGAGGTTTTATATGCTGCATTTTACTAATTTCATATTTAACCTGTATTTTTAATACAAAAAAACATTAGGGTATAGATCATGTGAAATGACTGGTGCCTTCAGGGACAATTAAATTTTCTTTCAATAAGTGTAACACAGGAATAATGTTCAATAAATTTTTCTAAATAGGAATTGTGTACCCCTTTGTCTAAGTATGCCAGTTCACACAGGAATTGTATTACTGAAAAAAGTTTTAAGAAAGGAAGAGGTCTACATATTTATTCCAAGTAAGTTCATTTTAAGAGTTAATGAAAATTTCTGAAGTATATATTATGCCTTGGGAGATGACTTTATCAAGAAATTGAAAAATAGTTAGAAACCTAACAATAGGAATGGATTAATACAAAACAGAAGTAGTGAATGAATATGATTGTTGGGTGAATCCTTTGTCAGTGACAAAAAAAGCAAATTATGGTTAATGTTTATAAGTTAGTGATGTAAGTTTGCTCTTCAGTGATCCAGACATCTAAGGAAGGATTGTCTTAAATTTTTATTTCATTCTTTTTATGTCCTTTGGAATTTTAAAATACCTCTCTATGTATTTTGTAAAGATTTTATTTTTAAGTAATTTCTTCATCCAATGTGGGATTTGAGCCCACAACCCTGAGACCAAGAATTGCACACTCCACCAACTTGAGCCAGCCAGATGCCCCTAAAAACTATTTTTAACAACCCGAAATGTATAACAAAGTTACATGTAAAGTGTAAATAATTGTTTTCTTCCTGAATTCTTTATAAATTTATGATAGGACACTGCATCATCTCTGAGTACCATAGTGTGTATTTCCTTCAAAGGACATGCTCTTACATCACTGCAATACAACTATTAAAGTCAGGAAATTAACATTGATATGTTACAACCATCTAATCCTCAGATCTTTATTTGCATTCATGTTTAACTGATTGTCCCAGTAATGTTCTGTATGGGAAAAGGATCCAGTCCGAGTCATGCTTTGCCTTTAGATTGGATGTCAGGTGTCTGGTCTACTTCATTGTGGAACAAGTCTTCTTTTTCTTTCTTGACTTTTACAACCACAGCACTTTTCAAGATTACAGGCTAGTTTTGTACAACATCCCTTATTTTGAGTTTTGTCTGATACTTCTTCATGATTAAATTCAGATTATGTATATCTTTGGCAGGGATATTACAGACGTGATGCTGTATTCTTATTGCATCTTATAATGAGTTAGTAATTTTGATTTGTCCTTTTTCTGGTGGTGTTTACTTAGATCAGTGAATAAATGGTGTCTGTCAGTCTTCTTCACAGTAAAGCTATTCTTTTTAGGTTTATGATTACTTTGTGGGAAAGTAGCTTCAGAGTACCATCCTGTTTCTGATCAAACTTCCAACTTATTTATATCTATATGGACTATTTATGGGGACTCATGATTTCTCATTTTATTGAGTGGGGGTAAATCTATTATTTCCATTACTGTGATGCTCACAATTTTTCTTGATTTGGTCAGGGGAAACCATTCTAGGTGGCTTGTGTGTTCTTTTGACGTCTCATCATTATTTTAGGAATTTCTTATTTTCTGGCACAAATTATACCAAGCTTAGGCTTTCTCTGTCCTAGCTCAAGAAGAACCCATGTTTTTAAGGTGCTCTGGTTCTCTTAAATGGAGAATGGTATTTAGAAGCTAAGATTTGTGTGGTAGTGAGCAATTGTTGTGTGTTTATAATATATAGCTGTATTTATTTCTATATATTGAAAACCATGAGTCACACTTAAACCTTAATGGCTAATCCCATGTGGTGCATTTTTCTTTTCTCCCTTTCTATATTTATAATGACAGCAGTGAGAAGTCCGATTTCTGTTATCCTTAATATATTTGGTTCCCTATTCTAGGTCATCTCACATGAATGCCTTCCTTACTCTACTCAGGCTCCAACACCCTGTGGCAAGCAGAGATCCTCACCTCCTTGAACCTGAACACACCTCATTGTGGGCCACTGAAGCCCTGCCATACCCTTTGGCAAAATGGCTCTCTTGTTCACTTTACCCAAGAACTAGGAATGAATTGTTGGGGAAGAGGCTTTTCTTTTAATTTGCTTCTCTTTTTGACTTTCAAAGAAATTAGTATTTTGAATAAGCACAATAAAATTAACTCTTCTGTTCATAGTTTTGTGAATTTTTAACATGTAGATTCTGTTAATAGTTTTGTGAATTTTTAGCAAGTAGATTCTGTTTATAGTTTTGTGAATTTTAACATGCAGAGATATGTGTAAGCACCTCCAAAATCAGGAGATTGAACAGTTTAATTATGTTTTTTTTCTTTTTTTTTAATGAACTTTACGCCCCATTTGTGCTCAAACTCATGACCCTGAGATCAAGCATTGCATGCTCTACTGTCTGACCAGCCAGGCACCCCAAGAGATTAAATAATCACCATAAAAACTTAATTCTCTCCCTTTGTAGTCATGCCCTACTCCTAGCCTCAAACCCTGGAAACCACTGGTTAAGACTGTCTCTATAGTTTTGTCTTTTCAAGAATGTTCATCAATGGAATCACATGTAATTTTTTTTTTAAGGTTTATTTATCCATTCAAGAGACAGAGAGTGCAGCAGAAGGGAAGGGGCAGAGGGAGAGAATCCCCAGGTGGACTCCCTGCTGAGCATGGGGTCTGATATGGGGCTGGATCTCTTGACCCATGTGACCATGACCTGAGCAGAAACTTGAGTTGGACACCCAACTGACTGAGCCAGCCGGGCACTTTGTAATGTTTTTTTTTTTTTTCAAAAAACAACAAAACAAAAACAGAAAGCAGTTTTATTGAGATCTAATTCACATACCATGTATTTTGTCCATTTAAAGTATATAATTCAGTGGTTTTTAGTATAGTCCTGTTCAATGCATCACCATAGTCAGTTTTCATTTTCATCACTTCAAGAAACCTCGTGCTTTTTTAGCTATCCATTCCCTCCCTCTCCACCCTCAGCCAGGCGACCACTAATTTGCTTTCCATTTCATAAATTTCCCTGTTCTGACATTTCATATATATTGAATATTATAGTATGTGGTCTTTTGTTACTGGCTTCTTTCACTAAGCATAATGTTTTAGTGGTTCATCCGTGTTACAGTATGCCAGTATTTCGTTGTTTTTGTATGACTGGACTATTCCATTGTATAATTGCTGCATATTTATACACTTGTCTGTTGATGGACATTTGGGAAGTTTCTGCCTTTTGCTATTATGAATAATGCTGCTATAAACATTCAAGTGGGGGCCCCTTGATGGCTCGTCAGTTAAGCATCTGCCTTTGTTTCATATGATTCTAGAGTCCCTGGATGGAGCCCTGTATCAGGCTACTTGCTCAGTGGGAGTCTGTTTCTACCTCCCCTGCGCCTGCCCTGCTTCTGCTCTCTCACTCTTTCAAATGAGTAAATAAAATCTTTAAAAAATAAACATTTGAGTACAAGCTTTTATGTGTATGTATATTTTTATTTCTTATCTCGGAATAGAATTTTGAGTTATATGGAAACTGATCATTTGAGGAATTTCTAGATTGTTTTCCAAAGTGGCTACGCCATTTTGCATGCCTGCCACTAGTGTATGAAATTTCTAGTATCTCCACATCTTTGCCAACACTTGTTACAACATTTTTAAATTTTTAGCCGTTCTAGTGGATATGAAGTGGTATCACGCTGTGTTTTGTTTTGTGTTTCTCTGATGACTATGCTGAACATTTTTTCTTGTGCTTATTGACCATTTATGTATCTTCCTTGGAGAAATGTTTATTCAAATCCTTTGCCCATTTTTTTAATTGGGTTATTTATTAATGAGTTGAAAGAGTTCTTTTTTCTGTACACAGGTCTCATTATTTGCATATATTTTCTTTTATTGTGTGGGTTTTTCACTTTCTTAATGGTGTCTTTTAAAGCATGAATGTTTTTAATTTTGACATACTAGTTCATCATGCTTTTGGTGGATGAAGCTTTTGGTATCATGTCTAAGAACTCTGTAATCCTGGTTATGAGGGCTTTTTCCAATATTTTCTTCTAAAAGTTCTATTATTGTATGTTTTACATTTCGATGTGTGACCCATCCAAAGTTACTTTTTTTGTAAGCTGTGTAATGTAGGTGGACCTTCATTTTTTGGCAAATGGATGTCCACTTGTTTCAAAATAATTTTTTGAGACTATCCATTCTTCATTAAGTTCTTGCACTTTTGTCAAAAATCATATGGGTCTGTTTTTGGTCTTTCTAGTCTATTCCATTGATCCATTTTTCTATCCTTTCACAAATGCCAAACTGCCATGATAATTGTAGCTTTATGATGAGTCTTAAAATTGGGCAGCCGGATTCCTTCAACTTAATTCTTGTTCAAAAATTGTTTTGGCTGTTTTAACTCTTTGCCTTTCTGTATAAAGTTTAGAATCAGCTGTATTCAGTCTATCTACCAAAAGTCCTGCCCTTAGGGTTTTCATTGGAATAGCATAAGTCTTCCAATCCTTGAACATGGAGCAGCTCTCCATTTAGGATCTCTATGATTTCAATCATGAGCATTTTGTGATTTTCTCAGAGCCTATGGAATATTTACATCTTTTCTTAGATTTATTCCTAAGTTCATTTTCTGGAGCTGTTGTAAATGATATATTTTTTTGAAAATTGTTTCCAGTTGTACATAGTGCAAAGAAATGTTTAATTTTTGTTTGTTGACCTTATATCCTGTGACCTTGTTAAAATCACATATTAGGGGACGCCTGGGTGGCTCAGTGGTTCAGCGTCTGCCTTTGGCTCAGGGCATGATCTCGGAGTGCCGGGATTGAGTCCCACATCGGGCTTCCTGGATGGAGCCTGCTTCTTCGAACTCTGCGTATGTCTCTGTCTCTCTGTGTCTCTCATGAATAAATAAAATCTTTTAAAAAAATCACTTATTCTAGTTTTTTGTTACGAATTCCTGTGATTTTCCTCATAAACCATAAATAGGTTTCATTTAGTTTGTACTACTCCATATGTCTTTGTTTTTCCTTGCTTCATTGCATTGGCTAGAATAGAAGGGGTGGAAATGTCCATCCCTGTCTTGCTTGGTTTTTAAATTTTGATTTGATTTTCAAATTTTGAACCTGCTTATATTTTCACACATCCCAAACTTGGTCATGGTGTGTTACTGCCATTTATGTATCTGGATTTGTTGAAGATTTCCATATCTGTTAATTTGCGATATTGGTAAATAGTTTTTTGTTTGTGTTATCTTTATCTTGGTTTGGTGTCAGGGTGATGCTAACCTTATAAAATTGGGAAGTGATTCTTCTACTTCCTAGAAGAGATTGGTAGAATTTGTATTGTCCTCTTTCAGTGTTTTATGGGATTTGTCAGTAAGATTTTTTTTTTTAAGATTTTATTTATTTATTCATGAGAGACACACAGAGAGAAACAGAGATATAGGCAGAGGGAGAAGCAGGCCCCATGCAAGGAGCCCAACTCAGGACCCGATCCCGGGACTCCAGGATCATGCCCTGGGCCAAAGGCAGGTGCCAAACCACTGAGCCACCCAGGGAACCCCTTGCCAGTAAGATTTCAAACAACAAATTCAGTTTTTAAAAATAGAACTTACTCAGATTACCTAATTTTGTTTTAATTTGGTTTATGTTAAGTTCTGGTGGTTCTTATCTTTCACGGAATTCATTTAACTTGATGTGCATAGTTGTGTTGTTTCCCTAGTGTCCTTTTAATATAGCATTATCTCAGTCTTGAGATTGGTCATTTGTCTTTGTCAGTCTTGCTAGACATTCATCAATTTTATTGCTTTTTTCAAATAGTTTTTGGTTTTGTTGGTTATCCTTATTTTCAGTTTCTTTGATTTTTAAACCCCTCCTTTTTTAATGACCTTTTCCCATCTGTTTGCTTTGTGGGTTTATTCTGCTTTTTCTAGTTTATGTGGAAGCTTTGAGACTTTTTTTTTTCATAATAAAAGCAATTGATGTGAATTAGTCTAAGCACTGGTTTAGCTACATTTCATACATTTTGATGTTTTCACTCAGTTCAAAATACTTTACTCTTTAGACTTACCCTTAGAACCTTGTTTAGAAGTTTGTTGTTTAATCTCTTAAGTATTCATAGATTTTCCTGTTATCTGACATTTCTAGTTTATGATCAGAGAACATACTTCATAATTTTAGTTCCTTTAGATTTCTTAAGGGTTGTTTTGTGACCTAAGATATGGTCTGTCTTGGTGAATGTTCCATGTATTTTAAAAGAATGCTTATTCTTTTATTTTAGGATGAAGTTTTTTATGTCAGGTAGATCCAGTTGGTTGTTGGTATTACTGTTTTTCTATGTTCTTGCTGATATCCTAAATTTCTATAGATTACTAAGAGGTTTGAGTCTCCAACTGTATTTGAATCCTTGTCCATTTTTCATATTTGAAGCTCTGATGTTAAGTGCATACAAACTTAAGATTGTCAAGTCTTCTTGAATTCTTTTATCTTTATTTAATGATCCCTTTCTATGCCTGACCAATTGCTCCAAAATCTTTGTCAAATTAATGTAAAACATTGGCTTTTTATTTTTTTATGGATTCTCTACCCTCAGTGTGGAGCTCAAATTCATGACCCCAAGATCATGAGTTGCATACTCTACTGGCTGAGCCAGCCAGAGCCCCCCACCCCCCAAACTGGCTTATTTTAATCCATCTCATTTGCCTTATGTTTACTGGTTTTGGTTTATGAAAAATTACAGGTTTTATATTTAGTAAGCAGTAAGTAGGGAGAATCTCAATCAGACCTCACCCTGAGTGTAGAGCCCGACATGGGGCTTGATCCTCTAACACTGAGATCATGACCAAAACTAAGAGGACACTCAACTGACTGCATCACCGAGGCACAGCTGTCTGCTGTTTTTGATAGTATGCCGCATAATTAGAAATATGTAAGGTTCAGGTGTTTAAAAACTACACTGTAAAGAGGATTAAGTGTATCTAGTCTTAGTCAAGTGCAAAAGGAACTTTCCTATATAAGTTTTTATTTCAATTTTCAATTAACTCTTTGCAGTGGTCACTTTGTCTTCTTAGTTTAATTAAACACGAACACTTCAAAATCCTGTTTCAGTTCCAATTACCAATTTACCTAAGCAGACTAATACAATACTGGTTAGTTACCTGTCATTACCAACCACTTTGCTGGAATGCCATTTAAGGTAAGACAATTTACCCAGGACTTCAGGTGGGCTAATATAAGGGTGAATTTGTATTAAGAATATCCATAATACTGATGAATCTAAATGACACAAGTTACCAATACTGTGTCAACACCAACTTTTAAATGCACATTAAATATATTTATCCTAATCTTCTGTTTTCTGAAAAGCCATTTGAAAGTAAATTAGGTAATGGCCATACTATTAATAGTGATTTTGTTTCTGCTATCATACATCTTTCTGCTAAATTTAAATACACTGAATGGAGATAGCTTTTTATTGTGGTTCTAGTATCACATTGACAAAACAGTTAAATCAGAACAGAAACAAATAGAAACTACCTGCAAAGGAATGCATTTCAGTAACTTTATTGAAAGGTATAGCCCTTAGTACCAAAACATAATGGTAGTTGGTTAGGCTACCTCTGCCAACTCAGAATTAACACTGATGTCAAATTATTGAAATATGTCAGCTTTTTGGGAAAACTGAAGTTATCCATAAAACACAGTTCACAAAAGTATAAGATATATTGTGGTTCTTTGGTTTATTTTCCAGTGCACATTTACCCATAACGTCATAAATGGGTACAGCCATTCTGGATGGACACAAGCTACCTGCTGCACTGAGTAACTGTTTACATCACTTTTAATGCCGTAGATCTCCTTACGGTCACTGACTTAATAGAAAATCTCAAATACTACCTTAGCAACTTCATAATTATGAGGATGCCTACTGACTTTTTTAAAGACTTTCTTTGGGCACAGGAGGGGCAAGTAGTGAAAGTATATTCTCTTCCTTTAAAAATTCTAAGTTAGAAGCAATAGCAGTTTTTATAAAAACAGCCCTTAGTAAAAACTTCTGGAGTGTTAAATCAAGTTTTTGGAGCATAGTTATTTTGAATTACTAACACAATAAAAACAAAGTTTCTTGATGGGATTAGATGGAGGCAGCAAATACTGTGTAAATTTTACCATGGATGCAAACGACCAGTTTTTTAGGAAAAATATTAACAATAACTTAATATGCCAAAATAACTAGGCCTGTAGTTTTACTTTTATAAAATGCCCTCAAATTTAAGTGTAATTCCCAAGTAGCAGTAAAGTCTAGATCTCAGAATTATCTATTATTTGCACTATAGGTACCAAGAAACCATTTTCATTGCCTAGAATAGTGACCCTTGTTATGCCTTAAAAGTGCATTTGTGAAATGTTGGTTTTAATGTATACCTCATAATTTAGAATTTAATTAGGTTACCACTTTTGATACCACCTAAATATAATATATTGACCCAACATAGAAAGTTGGGTTAATGTTAGAAATGAAGATTCACAGTTTACCTTCTCAGGCTCGTTATTAACATTTCACATTTATGCTCTTAGCTTTCATTTGTATGCCTCACAGATGAATTTAAATTTAATTTAAATTTAATTCCACTACAGCATGTTAATTAGGTAGTTTTCCCAAATCTGAGAACATCAATGCTAATCTAGTTGTGATGTTCTGAGGCTTCACAGCTTAAATTCATTATAACATCATGGAATCCATAGCTCAGGATTGTGGAGAAAGGCTTCAGAGAAGAGCTTTTTTGTTGCTGTAACAATCCTATTTAAACAAACAAAACATCAAGTTATTAGAATTCTGCCAAACATAAAGTATTATTAACTGTTAAAAATCAACTGCTTAACAGATTTAATAATCATGTCATATGTAAATGTATTAACATTTAGCTTTGAGTAGGAAAAGGTTAAATTACAACTTAAATTCAGATGGTAAGAATATATATCCTATATTAGTGATGAGATTTTAATTTTTATGCACTTTCCAGTGTTCCAACTGCAATTGCAATGATATACAAATATAATGTTGAGATACCCTGGCAGTTTGCAGATACCTAGCATGGAGACCATCTGCCATAATTTAAGTACAACATCCAAGTTCATACTGATTTTGCTTATAAGCTGACAGTCTTGAATTAGTTCATTTATGGTTCAAACTTTTGGTCCCGTTTTCCTGCTTAGGCTTGTGTTAACTTCAATTGTGCCAGAACTTGGGTCTACATATAGCAAAATGATGTGAAAAATAGTGTCTTAGTGCTTCTTTTGAAATTCAGGTTATTAAAGAGGATGTGATTTTCTAAGCTGAGAATTTAATGAAATGGCTAATGTACATATCAAAGGTTGGATAATTCCTTACTCTCAGGGTATTGTATCTTAAATGAAAAAATGCCCTCAAATATTAACTGACTAGATCAGTGAAGTCATTTTCCCCATTGCTATTCTAACTCCATCTTGTTTATTTTTGATAATAATTCATTGAGTTCTTGAATTAAACAATAAAACTATAGTGCTAGAAAATTTTCTCTATATGGAGAGTAACTATGAACCAAACTTACCAATTAAGGGACCATTTCAGGAATTGTTGGAAGGTGGGTTATTCTGTAGTAACTATGCTTCAATTGCCGTGCAGTACGTCCAGAAACAATCCATTTCAACTTCTGAACATTTGGTTTGGAACACTTGTTTGATGAATATTCAGTTAAACACTTGGATACAAGTTCTTGCCAGAAGGTCAAATCTCTGCCATTTATCTGTGCATAAATTAAAAACAAATTATTAGTAACAATTGGGCACCTGGGGTGACTCAGTTAAGCGTCTGCCTTCGGCTCAGGTCATGATCTTGGGGTCCTGGGATGGAACCCTGCATCAGGCTGCTTGTTCAGTGGGAAGTTTGCTTCTCTCTCTCCCTTTTTCCCTCCCCTCTGCTCAAGCTTTCTCTCTCACATATACTCTCTATATCTCAAATAAATAAAATCTTAAAAAAAAAAAAAAGAAAATCCTACATGGGGTGCCTGCATGGCTCAGGTGGTTAAAGATCTCTCTCTCTCTTTCTTTTTAAAGATTTTATTTATTCATTCATGAGAGAGACAGGGAGAGACACAGGCAAAGGGAGACATGGCTCCATGCAGGGAGCCTGACATGGGACTCGATCCTGGGTCTCCAGGATTACACCCTGGGCTGAAGGCGGCACTAAAATGCTGAGCCACCCGGGCTGCCCAAGATCTGACTCTTGATTTCAGCTCAGGTCACACATGATCTCATGGTCATGGAATTGAGCCCATGGGCTTGGTGCTCAGCAGGGAGTCTGCTTGAGATTCTCTCTCCTCCCCCACTGTACTCTAAAATTAAAAAAATGGTCCTACAGTATATAACTACAGCAATAATTGTGATCTTACTAATGTGTCTTTCCTTGTTAAGTAAATCTGAGGATAAGCTACTCAAGTTTCAAATAGACACATTCTCATTTTACTTGAGGAGCTAGTACAAGTGGTTTAGTTTCTTTTATAGCTGTTAATACCATTTAGGCTATGACCTTGACATACCTTGGAATGTGTCTGAAGACATTCTATTCCTTCAGTTAACTCTACAAACTTCTGTGCTTGGATCTCCAGTGCAATGATAGACAATGCCAACACAGAAGGCTAAAAGAGATAAATTTTAAGTAAGTATTGAGTTGAAAATAGGTATATAAATCAGTTTAATCTTTATAAAATATTTACCTTTGCTTTAGAAAATATGATCCTGCAGTGGCATGCCTTAAGTTGAGCTTCTAGTCTTTCAAAATTAAGGCTATTCTTCCTTTTAAAAAGAAAATGAAAATGAGATTAATTTTATGTAGAATGTAGTCAACGAAGGATGTTTAGAACATCTAAGTCATTTTAAAATGAAATTTACACACACATCACAGAAAATAAATCATTTGAAGAATTCCCTTTCCTTCAGGAGCATTAATTTCTTGAAGATACCATACATGAATTTAAAATAATTTTACCCCCACCAAAAAAGTATCATGTTACAACTATCAAGTTTTCATTTTAATCTATTTCTGCAGTTACTGAGTTCTTTTTCCATAAATCTGATAGATTCTAGGAGTTAAGTAGTCTATAAGTGGAAAATGTAATTAAAAAAAAAGTTGAAATGTCCTTTAATCCCAAGAATTAGCCTTCACAGACTTGAAAAAGCTGTTGACAACTGAAAGTCTCGCTTTTGTTGGACAGTGAAATGAAATCCAAGGAGCTGCAGCTGTCATTGTACATTTTTACCCCCTTCATTTTACTTTTGATTGGAATTATACCAAAATACTGAATTTATGCAATATCCAGAATACCATTTTGATTTCCAAATCTCCTTTGGTCAAAACAAAGATTACATACCTTTCAATTGGTAAGTTCTCTTGAATAAGTGAGTAGTAGAGTTGCAGAAATTGAAAGGCAGTAGTAGCTTTGACTTTCCAACACACTTTCTCCAATACAATCTTTTCCATTCTCATCAAGTCTGAAACCGTGAACCTATACTGGCTTATTCGGATCAAGTCAGTTGCCAATGGGACATTCCTTTCCTCTTCTATTGATTTAACAGCCAAATAGAAGCAGCTCAGCCCAACACAGCCAAGGTGCTTGGGCTGTACCTAAAATGACAATGAGCCCATGTCTTTAGCTTATTTTATTTATTTTTAAAATATTTCATTTATTTCATGAGAGACACAGAGAGAGAGAGGCAGAGATGTAGGCAGAGGGAGAAGCAGGCTCCCTGTAGGGAGCCCAATGGCAGATTCAATTCCAGGATTCTGGGATCATGACCCAAGCCAAAGGCAGATGCTCAACCACTGAGCCACAAAGGTCTCCCTCTTTAGCTTATTTTAATTAAAAAATAAATAAATAAAATAATCTAGAACTCAGATACATTATTATTAAAATGTATCTTTGAGATCTATTTCTCAACTGTGAAGGACTTAATAGAGATCCAATCATTCCTCAACTCTAGCCTGTCAACACTATGTATCCACTTGGAATCAATTTTGGAGAAACTGGACTAAGTGTCAGGATAATATTTAACTTCAGCCCATAAGAAATTCTTTTTTTCTTTTCCTTCCTAAATCATTGTAGAACTGTAAGCATTATGTTCTAGTTGGACCAAATAAATTAACTGATCAAAGGCTTATAGGGGGATCAAAGCTCCTTATGGCTTATGCACAAAATTTCTTTCTAAGATGTTGTGTTTTTCTAGGCTCTTTTCTTTTTAATAACACATGTAAAATGGCTTTTAAATGGTTTAGCACACACTATTTACTCTGCCTGTAAAGCTCTATCCACTCCCAATCTTTTATATTTATTTATCATTTCCTGAATGTCTACAATGTGACAGAATCAAATTTCTATCCACTTGAAGTTCCACGTTAAATGAAACTTTAAGAAGTTTTTACAGTGTTTGTATCTTCCTTTTCTTGGAATCTCTTCAGCAACATATTTATTTCTCTTTGGGGGTTTAAGTATCTTTCTTATTATGCCTTGCATTGTTTTATAGTTATTGGTACAAACATTATTTTCATATAAGATTGTAATATACTTAAGGGACAGATGTATTATTATTAACCTGTGCAACATTTATAGATTCAAAGGTAGTGCTGGCACATGGTGTCTAAACAATAGTTTAAAAATTAGTCTGTTGAGCAAGTTTCTTGAACCATCCAATTCAACAAATGTGGAATTTCTTCTGTGTACGAGGTGTTGTGTCAGGTCCTGAGGACTAAAAGATGAGTTTCTTTCCATTTGTCACATCATCTCATCCACTCATGACCATGGGCAAAAAAGGCAGATATATTTTTAACAGTAAGCAAGTTCTGAAATCTACACAGATGTCCTGCTTATCCAGTACAGGGAAATAATTACATAAATGCTCCTCCTTCAGAAGATACTCTCTTCTCTATTGTATGCCAACTGATGTTGAAAATAGCAAGCTAAACAATATATGAATAGGTCTAGGGCTAAAACAATTAAAACTCTATATATGACTAGAAATTAAGAAGTATACTCTATTGACCAAGTGGTTCACAGCATAAAACAAAACAAACCTGTAATTCTTAACCAAAATCTAGCATTCTGCCTATAACACATTTCTTTAAATTTAAAAACAACAGTAGATAAATGAAAATACCCAACCTATCAAGAAAGATCTTAAAAAACAACAGCCAACTCTCATACTGGGAGTCTGCAATTATTTGCTAATATTTTTCCTTTTCTTTTCTTTTTTGCTAATAGACTATTTTTCAATGTCAAGTTTATTCTAATTATACCTTATTCTTGATTATGAAGGAAGAGTATTCATTAATGCTAGAGTACACAGAATCATCGAAATGTTTTGGCTACTTGATGAAAATTAAAAAGGTCAAGTTTTTGAATACCAGCCCAAAGCTAGAGAAATTCATCTCCAAAATGAAATGAGTAAAACCAAGAAATACTTAGTGTAATGTAGCTTTAAACATACCTTCATTTTGGACAGGAATCTGTCCAGTAAATTCACAGCTAGAGAAAATGTCTCCGTGTCAAAGCCAAAGAACTGAGTTAGACTAAGAAGATCTTTTACTTCAAAGTCCCTTAGTCTTGCAGTCATTCTGAGGCCATTATCGTGTGCAGATTCAATTAGTCTCAAGCCGCAGACCTTTGGCTGACATCTGGACTCCTGTTCCAATAGGGCATTCAGCTGGTGTAGCAGTTTCTGAGATTCAGTTGTTGTCAGTACTTCTATCATCTATATATAGCACAAGGCCCAGAAAGGAGTGTAAGAAAAGCCCTTCCTGCCTTGTTTCATGCCAAGCGCTTTATACCCAAGTTTCCCCTCCCCCAATGCTGCTAGTGAATCTGAGTCCTTGCAAAGTGCCATCTGTTACAGCCACCCCTAGCCCCCACCCGACCAGTTGGTCACATCCTAGATTGGGAGCTCCTAGAGGACAGGAGCCATGCCTTAAAAACATTAAAAATCTTCAAGAAATACTTGTTCAAGTCATTCACTGCCAGCAGATGACTGAGTATTGATACTGTCAGACGGGGCGCCAAAACTCTGAAATTAGACGGTCGTATGTAATTGCCCTGTGTTGAACCGCCATACCATGAAGTGTTAACGTTAGTTGATTTTACTTGATCCCTATTTCCTCATCTGTAAAGTGGGTATGAGGTTCTTACCTACCTCACAGGCTTGTGTGGAAAAACGAGATCACCTAGGTATAGGGCTTAGCACAAAGGCACCTAACAAACACTGGACAATAATATTTACTTCTTGGTAAAACGAGGTGACAACATGGGTCTCTCCGAATGGCTGGTAAAATCAAACAAGATGATTCATGTAGGGTCGTGCACAGTGCCTGACACACTGCGCTCAATCATCGTCAGCTTTTATTGGCGAAGCTTACAGGGTGCTACGGTAGGAACACGCAGCCAGGGCGTGAGGTAACGGAGGCTGCAGTCTGCGCTGGGAGTTTATTCCACAGCTGGGAAGTCCCGGCCACAAGGTAAGCCCCGGGTACGAGCGCACCTCCCACACCAAGGGAGAGACAGGGCGGCAGGGGATCCTTCAAGTTGCGCGACTGAAGGGAAGCGCGGACGAGGAACCACCAACTTTACGGGCCCAACGCTCCTCCGCCGTGGGCTGGTCCCCGGGACCCCGCCGACCCGACGGTAAGACTGGCCCCGCCCCTCCAAGCTCCGACTAGCCTGGACTTGTTGCAACCGGAGAGTGAATCGAGGGAAAGGGCGCGGGCTGGACCCGCCCCTCGCCCCACATCCTTCACCCCTCACCCCTCACCCCTCACCCCCAACCCGGCTCCTCAGCCGCACCGCGAAGCCAACCCCCAGGGCCCCGCTCACCTTGACCGCGACTGCGGCTCCTCAGCCGTAGCTACCCTCCCCGGGCCTGCTCTCACCTCACCCCGCGGGAACAGATCCGATAGGCCCACGAGGCGAGGGGACTCGCGGGTAAGAGGGGAGAGGCCCGGGGAGGGGGAGCCGTCCTGGGCGGAGGTCTCCGCAGCGCCGCCCGGACGACACTGCCCACCACAGGGTCAGCTCGGAGCCGAAGGGGCAGCGCCTCACCGCTGGAGTAATATATTGGAGGGCGGGGCTTGCCCCTGGTGGGCGGGAGAGGGGGGATTTTAGCTTCTGATTGGTGCAGTTCTTTTGATGGATGGCCCCAGCCGTCCAAAGAGGGCTGGTCTGGGAGGGAAGAAGTCCAGCCAATCAGCACACACTTCCCAGTATCCCGGAGCCGAATTCTCCGCCCCTTGAGGCCACGCCCCTTGCCTCTTAGCTCCTCTCGGTGGAGAATTTCCTAAAGCGTTTTCAACCAAGAAGTGGTCGAGCTCAATGCTGTACGCACTCTGTCCCGGTAGGGTCTCTCCTGGCAGCCGGATTGGCCAGAACATCATTCCAGAATGTACTGAGAGTTTTTGTCCCCTGCGGTTCAGTAGAGTTGTTCGGCGTCCTCTTTGTAAAAATACAGTGACTAATTACAAAACACAAAGTAAACCCTTGATTTTTCGTTACAGGTTGGAGAGGTGGTGAATTTTCTATGCGGTAGTGTATTCTATAGGTTTTTTCCACGTGAGCTTTGGAAATCCATGAATTCCTGCTTTATTTTGCTTTTTGTACGATTTATCAAAGAATGGAGCTGGGGTAGGTAAATTCTTGGTCTTCATCAATTTCCTGGATTTTATTTTTGAGCTAATTAAAAGTTGGTAGGTTTTTTTTTTTTTTTTAATGGCTTAAAATGGAAGGTGCGTGTTAGACTCTTAAGAGGAGAGTACATGGGAAAATATTTGTAGTGACTATGAATCTAAGTCCACAGACCCAGGTGTGAAGGGGGCCCATGCCAGATAGGTGGGAAAATAATTAGCCTGAAGCCTTCCTGGACTCCCCTCCGCTTTCGCTCCCTTACAAATGAGCAGGGTCTACACTAAAAGGGTCTGAGGACTGATGAGGAAAGAGTTAATCAGTTCTCAGAGCTGTACTTGGATGTCTCTGCTATCATGAACTCTTTCTGGTTAGTAGCATTCTGAGCTATAAAAAGTGAAAATCTGAAAGATTTACTGGTATCCCTTCTCTTTCCCCTGAGGTGTCTTTTCTCGAGGCAATGTCACAGAACCAAGCCTCAAAACGGGGGCAGAGTTGTGGAGAGGAAAAGAGAGGGAAAACCAGGGAGAAAACGTAATACCTCAAAATACCCCAGCCACAACAATAGGTTGGTTGGTTGACAAAATGCAGCTTTTCAAATGGGGAAGAGGCCTCCATCCTTCTTGAAAACAAACTTACATAATGAGTATAAACGGACAATTTAAAACATTTAAGAAGTATTCACTACAGTAATGTGTGAGTTTACAAATGTACATGTTTCTCTTTTGGCTTTTAGTTACAGAATTAGGAATATGCGTATATATACTCATTTACTAATATCTATTGAAACATGTGCCAGTGGAAAACAAAATATATTGGTACCTGTCCTTGTGGAATATGTAGTCTTGTGGACACTATAAACACATGGACTTTGGAATAAAACTTATTTTCAAATCGTGGGTTACTAACTAGCTATGTGACTCTTAAGTTATTAAATCACATTAGTTTCCATTCTTTTCTGGCAAGTAAAAGTACCTTATTCATAGGGTTATTGAGAGGATTAAATAAAGCAAAGTACATAAAAAGGTAGGCACTCTGCCCAGAACACAGTAAATACTTGCTAAATGGTAGCCTTTATTATTAAATTATTAACATTTCTTTTGAAAATGTCTTGCTCAAACATACATTTGATTGGGCTTTTTCTATTGTCAGATTTAATCTTCTCAGCCTAGAATCAGAGTTTAAGAATTGTTTACTTAAAACTAATAAAAGTATCTAAATTGCATTAATTTCTAAATCTTTTATACTTGAAATTTTCATGTGAGGCTTTAGGTAATATATCAGTGTTTATGTAATAAAACTGTTTCACATTAGGATCTTATTTTTTGAGATCTGAAATTCCCTATCTGAAAGTAATTGTTTTGACTGCTCTGAAGAAAACTTGATTAAATATAAAGCAAGTCAAATGGACATTCCTTACCTTTTCTCCTTCCCTTTACTCCCACTGTCATTTATATTTGATAATATTAGAATGTTAGTCTATCACTTAAATAATTGAAAAGAGATTATTTTTATAGAAAAATGAGCAAATTAGAAATTAGAAAAATGAGCAAGTGTAAGACTCAATTATGTACTCTTGTAAAAGAAAGAAAATGAGCCACTTATTCGCTATGAAATTATTTATAAAGATAGATTTAGTAATGAGTTTCAGGAATGTTTCAAATGACTGGCTTCTCAGGTGTTTTCGAGGCTTGAAGATATATGCAGCTGCCATCTTTATACTTTCTTCTCTGTCATCAGTTAAGTGCAGCAAGAACCAAAGCTCAGAATAATGGCCTTCAGGTTGGGCAAGAATCCCAGGCAGTCACAGGAAGATTTAATCATATTCTCTTCATTGTAGACTGCAGAAGTGCCTTTGAGCAACAAAAGTTATAACAAGTAGGTATAACAGTGGTCCTGTGTCAAATGCTGCCCAGACTCCCAGGGAAGTTCCTAATTGGTTCTGTCTCCAACCTAGAGATTGGAGGAGGTTCTGCACCTCACCATCTCTTTAGGCTTCTTGACAAATGTCTGGAACTTTTGTATGTTGATTTTTTCCAATTGTGGTGAGGGATCAAGAAGTGAGGATCAAAAGGATTTCACCTGGGTACCTTCCCCTCTGCTTTCTGATCCTTTCTGGCACTAGTTATTACAATCCCTACCACCTCTCCAACTGTTTGCTAGAACACCTGCTCAGTATTATTCATATAAAGAGAGCTTGTTTGGCAGTGGCCTTTTTGAGTCTTTATTAGCCCTTGGTGTACCAGAGAAATTGTGTATAGTCTGGGTGGTTGGGGGGGGGGGGCAGGGAGAAGGATACATAGAAAATAGTTTAGTGATGTCATGTCTATCTTGCCATTCAGTGATTCTAACTACCTTAGATAAGGTAACCCCTTCCAACTAATTGAGGTTACACTACATTCAATGCAAAACTAAACTTCGTAGGTAACCGCTGCTACCTAAAGGCACTTTTTTTTGGGGGGGGGGCGGGGGAATAAGACAGTTTAATGATGGCTTCCTTGGTTTACAGACAACAGGAGGACAAACATTTCTCTCCATGCACCAGTGCAATGAAATCAGGCGAGTGGCCATCCCAGGACAGGAGCCATGGAACTCAGAGCCACCGCTCAGCCTCTCAGTCGCGTGGTCCCAGCAGCGGCAGACACGGGGAGGCGGGGGACGGCCTGGCCTCCTGGGGCGGGAGTGAGGGGCCAGGTGCCCCAGGAAGTGAGGGGCGCGGCACTGCCCGGTGCTGGTGGGAGAGTGTGGGGGAGGGGGCGGGGAGCCAAGCGCCCGGGTGGGCCCCGACCACAGGGAGCAGCTCGGTGGCATCAGCTGTCCCATCAGAGCTACTCTTGGGGCCAGAACCAGGCTGCGCTGGGGGGAAGGCGGCTGTAAGAGCCACGGCAGAAGAGGAGCGAGGAGCACATGCTGACTGCCTTCCTCCTGCGCACGGAGCTCCTGGTGACCCAGCTGCACCTGGCAAGGGGAAGAGCGCTCCCGAGATCCTAAGATATCTTCCTCCGATGAAGAACGTCTGCTACTAGATGCCTGAGTGCTTGCACATCAGCTTGACTTACCAGAGGATATTTTCTTAACAATTGCATTAAAAAAAAATAAAATAAAATGGATCAGTGAAGTGTTTTCAAAGGAGTAGTCCTTGAAAAGGGACTCTTTGGGGAATAGCATGGCAGGTTAGGAGGAGATCTCCTGCTCCCTAGCATTTGGTCCAGTTGACATAGACTGTTGACTGCAGGGCTCAAAGCCAAGATCAGCTAGTAATAAAAAGAGTTTGTATTTGTTATATGCTTCCCATGTGGCAGGGTATATATTGAATTTAAACCCATATGATCTTACTTAGTTCTCTAACAATTCTGATATTATTATTATATTATATTATTATTATTATTATTATTATTATTCAGAAGTGAGGGATATCCTGTATACTTCTTATTTGGTAGCTACCATTTACTGTTTAATGAATATAGATTATACATAACTTGAATTTGGATATTATTGCATTAAAAATAGCTTTTATTTTGGAATATTTCAGACTCATTACTCAGCTTCAGTAGCTATCAACATTTTGATCATGTTGCCTATTTATTTTTTGTTTGTCTGAACATTCAACAAATAGTTACTGAGGACTTTGAAGGTGCCAGACCATTGTATTTTGTAGTCCTGGACTAAAAATATAACTTTTGGGCCACAGGGTGGGTTGGTTATTGTTCTCTGTGAAGATAAGAAGTTGGAAGGATAAACTGGATCATTGTCATCCAGGTGCATTTCTTTAGTCTGAAGTCCACGCTGGAGGATTCTCTGTGGTCTGCTGCTTTAGTAGGACAAGGTGGGGATGGGGGGGGGGGGATAGCAATTCCCTTCCTTATAAAGGTTTCTGCCTAGGCTGCTACCCATTCTTCCCAAAAGCGCATGCACATATACCTTCACATCTACACAAAAGGTTTTGACAGAGTTGAGATTTGGAAAATGAAGTATTACAATTACATTACATTGCTTTTTTGTCCAGTTGAATTGTACTAGAATAACATTATGTCATAGGTCAGAACTTCTGTTCTCTATGATAGCCTTAAACTGGTCAGGGCCTTCCTTGCTTCATGTCACCATGTTCCTCATTTCTTTAGCTTCCTCACTCTAACTCCTGATCTGAGTTTTGAAAGGTTTAGCCAACTGAAGAGGCTGGTACAAAGAGCATTCCAGACAAAAGTAGCAATATGTGGAAAGGTGCAGAGGAGAGAGTGACAACTCACTCTACAAATGGAACAGAGTTTACTCTGGCTAAAGGTTGGAGGGTGTTGAGGGTGTGTCTACCAATGAGATGGAGGAGAAAAGCACTGTTTATCCTAAAGAGCCATGTAGACCATGTATACCATTCTTGGATTTTTTGGACTTTATTCTACAGGTTTTAG